AAAGAACCCCCGGTGCTTCCACCTACCCCCCTCCGTGCTGAGAAAGAATCCCCGGTGCTTCCACCTACCCCATCCGTGCTGAGAAAGAACCCCCGGTGCTTCCACCTACCCCCTCCGCGCTGAGAAAGAACCCCCGGTGCTTCCACCTACCCCCTCCGCGCTGAGAAAGAACCCCCGGTGCTTCCACCTACCCCCCTCCGTGCTGAGAAAGAACCCCCGGTGCTTCCACCTACCCCATCCGTGCTGAGAAAGAACCCCCGGTGCTTCCACCTACCCCATCCGTGCTGAGAAAGAACCCCCGGTGCTTCCACCTACCCCATCCGTGCTGAGAAAGAACCCCCGGTGCTTCCACCTACCCCATCCGTGCTGAGAAAGAACCCCCGGTGCTTCCACCTACCCCCCTCCGTGCTGAGAAAGAACCCCCGGTGCTTCCACCTACCCCATCCGCGCTGAGAAAGAACCCCCGGTGCTTCCACCTACCCCATCCGCGCTGAGAAAGAACCCCCGGTGCTTCCACCTACCCCATCCGCGCTGAGAAAGAACCCCCGGTGCTTCCACCTACCCCATCCGCGCTGAGAAAGAACCCCCGGTCCTTCCACTTACTCCCTCCGCTCTGAGAAAGAACCCCCGGTGCTTCCACTTACTCCCTCCGCGCTGAGAAAGAACCCCCGGTGCTTCCACCTACCCCATCCACGCTGAGAAAGAACCCCCGGACCTTCCACCTACCCCCTCCGCGCTGAGAAAGAACCCCCGGTGCTTCCACCTACCCCCCTCCGCGCTGAGAAAGAACCCCCGGACCTTCCACCTACCCCCCTCCGCGCTGAGAAAGAACCCCCGGACCTTCCACCTACCCCATCCGCGCTGAGAAAGAACCCCCGGACCTTCCACCTACCCCATCCGCGCTGAGAAAGAACCCCCGGTGCTTCCACCTACCCCCCTCCGTGCTGAGAAAGAACCCCCGGTGCTTCCACCTACCCCATCCGCGCTGAGAAAGAACCCCCGGTGCTTCCACCTACCCCCTCCGCACTGAGAAAGAACCCCCGGTGCTTCCACCTACCCCCTCCGCACTGAGAAAGAACCCCCGGACCTTCCACCTACCCCATCCGCGCTGAGAAAGAACCCCCGGACCTTCCACCTACCCCCCTCCGTGCTGAGAAAGAACCCCGGTGCTTCCACCTACCCCCATCCGCGCTGAGAAAGAACCCCCGGTCCTTCCACCTACCCCCCTCCGTGCTGAGAAAGAACCCCCGGTGCTTCCACCTACCCCATCCGCGCTGAGAAAGAACCCCCGGTGCTTCCACCTGCCCCATCCGCGCTGAGAAAGAACCCCCGATCCTTCCACCTACCCCCATCCGCGCTGAGAAAGAACCCCCGGTGCTTCCACCTACCCCATCCGCGCTGAGAAAGAACCCCTGGTCATATTCCAGCGTTGCCCACTCAATGAATGGCCCCCTTCATTGGGTTACATGAGTCCACATGCTCCACACACCAACTCTACCTGTATACTTCCTAAGTATCTCCTGTGTCCCTCTCTTCTCCCAGCTCTGCTCAAACCATGGCCAAGCCACTGTCATCTACCAGGTGACTGATATGGCCGTCATTTCCTGGCTTCTCGCATACCCTCTGCACATGCGCACACCATGCATACACCCACACATGCACATACCAGACATACTTTAAACACACATACTTTGCTGCTGTCAGGATAAAAATCCATAATACGGTCCCTACCTACCTCTCCATCCTCATCTAGGAACAGGTGCCATGTTCCCTGTTTCCCTTGAGGCCTTTGAGCCGGCTCCCTCTGCCTGGTCCAGCAGCCACTCTGGGATTGCCCACCCCTACCAGTCTCAGCCCGGTGTCTCCTCCGTAGAGGCTCCTTCCTAACCTTGTCTGAGTCTTGATGCGTTTTCTAAAAGCATCACTTACTCTCTAGCACTTATGGAAGATGTAACTACAGTGGATTCTTTGACTCTACTCCAAGAAGGCAACTTCCTGCCTCATGTGTTAGTCTCTGCTTACCATGACATTTCTAGCATAGGACTTGGACATGGCTAAGAGCAGGCCCTGAGTAAATACGGGTTGAATGAATGACTACTGTCCACATGACATATGGTAGGACCTAAGGAGAAGGAGCATATTTATTTTCAAGGGGAGGCTGGGAGGAGTCAGAGGAGAGGGAGTGTTTGAGCTCAGGCTGAGTGACAGAGGACTTTCATGGGCACAGGGGCATTTCAGGCGGGTGGGGTAGTGCTTGCAGATGCACTGAGCTGGGGAGAACATGTGTCTGGGGGCTATTCCTCAGGGCTGACTTCTAGAGCTCGAGTTGTGAGGGAGGGAGTAGGAGGTGAGCTGAACAGGAAGGCAGGAAAGTGACTAGTATCTGCAAAGGCATTCAGATGTTACTTCTTTATTTTTCAAGTTGCCAGTTGCCACCCTGTAGCAGGGCCTGAAATTAATTGGCATGCCAAGACTAACAGTTCTTAAAAAATGAAACATATTAGACTAGGAAATATCAGATCATACTGTGTATGGAAGGCTGTGTATAACTTAACGGAACTTTTGTTTCTGTTCTGTTTGTGTGTATGTATGTTATATACTTACGTGTGTGTGTACTGGTGTGTGTGTACTGAGTTGCCATGTAAAGTGTATTTCTTACTGTGGATTAGAGTAAAAATAGAAATGTAACTCTTATAGGTATTGGGAGCCCACGAATAATGTCAGCCAGGGAGTGACGTGGCCAGACTCTTAGTGTGGGTCTGGAGGGGCAGAAGCAGGAACACGGTCAGGCAGGTGCTGTAGCCTAGGTGAGAGGGCTTCAGGGAGCAGTCAGTGGCGGACAGGTTGGAAGGAGGTGAAACTTCCAGGATTTCATGAGATGTGTTGAGCAGGGAGGTGAGGGTGACTTCCACAGTGGCTGGCCGTGGCCACAGGTTGTACGGGGATGACAGTCCCTCCCATAGTAGAACGATATTTAAATACACCTCTTTCTGATTTACCTAATGATCATCTGGTATAAAAATTTTCTGTTTTAGGAGAAAAACTTCTTGGATAGTATCATTTTGAGACGATAAAAATCTGAGTGGTTTTCCTCTCAGTGGAGAATGTGATCCCAGGGGACAAGCTGGGTGGGCCACTGCCCGGCCCCAGCCTGGCACAGTGCTCTCGAGGGCTCTGCCCTCTGGCAGGGATACTGCTGTGGGAAACACAGCAGGCTGACCTTCAGGCCTCTGTGGTACCTTGTTCCCGAGGTCCCTCTCCCGCCTTTCTTTACGCTGGGAGGATATTTAAGTGTTTAAAGTGTGGGTGGCAGGTGATCTGGGGACCTTTCTTTTTCTGTGCTTTCCTTTATTTTCTAAATTTTCTGTAATTGATACTATATTTTCTATTTAACAATTTTTATTTATAATACAATTTCCTATAATATGTAGTACTTAACATTTGTTCTGTTTGTAAGTGGATACACATTTATTTTAAACAATTAAAAGGAATACAGTAGTGCATTAAGTAGAATGAGAACATACCTAGAACTCCCCCCACCCCCCGAAATTACTGTTGCTATTTGGAGAGCAGTCCTCAGTGTCCATACTGACCACCAGTCGTATATCAGCATCGCTTACCAGAAGTAACTCCCGGTTCTCTGTAGCTCTGTATAGCTTGTACGTTTTCTCCATTCAGCAAACAGCATGGACAGCCTTTCATGCCAGTTACATATAAGTTATAAATCACAGATCCAAACCCGTGGGTCGCAGGGAGGTGCCTGCCGTGAGCGAAGTGTACTGATGTGACGCGGAGGCCGTGGTGTGCCAGCGGTACACTAACGAATCCACACCCCTCCTCTAAAGAGGCAGCCAGTACTTAGCTCTAGTTACTTTCTTTTTTTTTTTTGGTCCCATGGGTTATCTTTGTTGAATCTTTTAATTTTCCAAGAGAAGCTAGAAATCTAACTGTTTCCCTGAAGTTTTCCATTTTCCATACAGGGCGTGGCCAGTCTGCTGGCCAGGTATAGTCTGCGATGCACCGGTTTACCACTTGATATATATCGGCCTCATTTTGTTTACAGATTTTTTTTCTTTCTTTCAGGGCATGGCATTTTAATTTTTTTCTATTTACTCATCATTGAAGTTGATGCATCTTTTTCTGCAGGGCTGGCTGGCACCCTCTCTCGGATCGGAACTGAACATTAGATTAGCCTATGAAGTGCCTCATCTGTTAAATGCTTTAGCGCTGTCGAGAGTTTCACCCGGGATCATATAGCCACAGGCTCTTTACTCTTCTTTCTTAAATATATAGGCGCGGATTCAGAGATGAGGTCAGAACTGCAGAGGCTGTGTGTACTCAGGGTATCTCACTCAGCAAGGGGGACAGTTCCTACTCCTGACTGTGCAGAGGCTCAATGGCCGGGGCAGCAGACGCTCTGTCCTTGGGGCTGAAAGGTGTTTCATTCAGTCCACCTGAGAGCAGGTTGCAGAAAAGGTCTAACCGTTAGTATAAAGGACTGTTCATCCCCAACAGACTGTGGAGCCGACTCAAATGTTGTTCCTCATGTGCTGGCACCAGGGGGTCTTTTCCTTTCCAGATTATTTCATGATTGTTCAGAAGGAGACAAACTACGAAGTGGCATTACCCAGTCGTTCACTCGTATCTGTGTACTTCTTGGAGCCTCCGTTTGCTCTGGAAGACTTGCTTGCTGGTGCTGCGCCACGAAGCTGTCGAGAGGGTTGCATTCTAATGAGATGACTGTGTGAAGACACTAGCACAGAGCCCCGTAGTGTTGGTTCTCTTTCTTTAGTATTTTTTAACGCGAACCTCTTACTGCATGTCTCATTCACACGGGCTTTAAGAACACAGACTTTCCTGTTGGGGACTGCGTATCGACTGAGGAGTGGGCAGCAGAACCTAGGCCGTCACTTGTGGCATGACGTGCTCAAGCAGAAACTGATTTGTTTTGTTTTGTTTTGTTTATAGTTTTTGACGTGTTTCTGTTTTGGTCTGACTAGGAGGAGCCTGATCTGGTTAGTGCAATTTATGGCCGAGGGATAGCCTATGGAAAGAAGGGCCTACATGTGAGTATGGAATAGTTACGCTTGTCATGGTGCCTACATGACCTGCCTCGGACCAGGGTCTGGTAGAACCGCTCACTGTGGTTGAGCTCTGGTGGGAATGCAGTGGGCTGCTCCAGGTCTCAAACAAGAAATGGCAGGAAAGGACTCACTCAAGGTCACGTGGCTGGGAGGTGGTGAACTGGGAATGTCTACTCAGGTCTTCTGAGGTCAATTTTGCCATATTTTCTACCCCAAAGGGACAGTCTCTGCCAGCCTAAGCTTATTTAGTGGTGAACTGGACATAGACCAAGAAAAGCAGGAGATGGTAGCTGAACTCCTCAGAAATACTCATTGGTAAAGCAGACTGGGCATCGGTAGTGCAGTAGGACTCAGACTTGGAGTTGCTTTCACAATTTTAAAGGTTGAGTAAAGGAACAGAAGTTTATTTTGTAAACTTTATTTGTTATCATATATTATACTTTCCCCAGATGGGTATAGCTCCGTGCCCTTATTCTCCTTGTTTCTCCTTATTCTCCTTGTCTCCTTGAGGAATGCAGGAAAAATGTTATAACAAATATATTTTGCTCAACAGAAGAATCATGGTATAAAAATGAAGCCTATCCTGAGATTATAGAGTAAATAATGAAATAGTCTAAGGTTCAGATCTCCACATTTTCAGTCTAGAACATTAAACATAATTTTTGTTGTCTTATTGTATATGAAAAATATTCAAATGAAATTATGCTTTGAGGGAGAAATATCACTTTTGTATCTTTACCAATTAAAAAGATTGTACTAAAGCCTATTAGAGAAATTTTGTATAATATTTGTATACTTCTGAGATATAGAGGACTGAAAATGAACTCAGATTTGGAAATGAGGTTTAGGATGGTAACAATGTTACATTCAGAACATCACAGAAGCACTGAAGTTTCCCTAATGGAGGTCAAAGATGAGCTGCTTCTTCCTAATTCTCATCTCTTTTAATTTTATATCTTGACATGACATTTTCTAGTATTTTTAATACATTTCTAATATAAAAGTAACATGCTCATGTATTTTTAATATAAAAGTGATGTGGAAATTTTATTTATTTATTCTCACCCAAGGATATTTTCCCCCCTTTTTTCTTTTTAGAGACAGAGGTAGGGTGGGAGTGGGGGTCGGGGGGTAGAGAAACATCGATGTGAGAGAGATACAACGATTGGTTGCCTCCTGCACGTGCCCTTGACCAGGAATAGAACCTGAGACCCTTTGGTTCGAGGGCTGACGCTCCAACCACTGAGCCACACCAGCCAGGGTGTAATGTGCAAATTTTAAAGAGAACTTACCTATACTTCTTACGGTGTAGGTAGGCTTAGGGGTTTGATTGACACTGACTTGGCCCCTTCTGTTCCCACATTGCTGCGGGTCAGCAGTATCCTTTGGCCTCCTGGTGTCCACATTCTCATCCCTTGCAATTCACTGATTCAGTGTTTGAATAGGTTAAATTTAGAAAGTATTTTACCACCTACGGAACTTGTGATAGGTAGTAGGGCAGCGTGCTGAGTAGGTGGAGTCGGGTGAGTTACGTAAGGTGACATCACGTCTTTCGCTTGGCAGCTTTGCTGCTCAGCGGCCAAACTCATGGTTATTTCTAAGTAAGTGGTTAGATCATTACTAACGTGTTACTTCAGAAAATCTGTTCCACCTGGTTTTGAGTGACGGTGTATCTCACACTAAGCTAATACCTTTTCAAGGACATTAAGAATGCGGAACTTGCTCTGTTTGAGCTGAGCCGAGTAATTACCTTGGAACCAGATCGCCCAGAGGTATTTGAGCAGCGAGCAGAAGTGAGTGTGGTTTTCTTTTCCCTCTGCCCTTATTGGATTAGTTGAATCTCAGATTTTTTGCCTATTATTTTATTACTTGTAAATTTTAAAGCTCCCTTATATCTATTGTGTTTTCCTCCTAGGTACTTAATGCTTTTAAACATGGTTAAAGTTACTAGAAAACTATGAGCTGAGTGATACTCCTGATTTAACATATAATAGTAATATTTAGTGTTAAAATATGCATTTATGACAAGTACTACTCTCAGTGTTCATTAAAAAGTATATTACACATGACATTTATTGTATATATGATATACTTTAGCAAAACAATATGACAGTGTGGTCAAAATGACATTTGTAGCCATTATTATTATTATTATTATTATTAATCCTCATCCAGGGATATTTTCTCAAATATCTTCAGAATGAGTGGGAGGGGGAGAGAGACAGAGAGAGACAGAGGAAGAGAAACATTGATTGGCTGCCTCCTGCAGGGCCCCAGCCAGGGCTGAGGACAAACTGTAACCGAGGTATGTGCCCTTGGCCAGAATTGAACCTGGGACTCCTTGGTCCGCGGGCCGATGCTCTAACCACTGGACAAACTGGCCAGGGCAAATTTGTAGCCTTTAGAAGCAAGTGTGTGTGTGTGTGTGTGTGTGTGTGTGTGTACATGCTTATCTATAATTCTTATGACATAACGCCTATCTATATGGAGACATAGATCAGGTAAGGGTGACTGTAACCAGACCTTGAGGTGGAGACAGAGAGGTAACATACGGTGGAAACTCCAGGTAATGCCTGTGACAGCAGACACTAAGAGGAGCAGAAAGGTGTGGCCTTGGCCTGCCCGATGTTTGGGTGAGGTTAGCAAGGGGAAGGGGTGTTACAGGCTTTGTAGAGGCCTCACTGAGGAGCTGATTTGAGATGGATCAGATCCCACGTCCTGGGGAACACGGTGGAGGAGGGTGTTCAGATCAGAGAAAGGAATGTATGCGAAGCATTCACTTTTAATGAAATGTATTCATTTTACTATTTTCATAAAATAATAGTGAATATCCAGGTTTCCTGTTGTATTTATTTTACTGCACACTTAGCCATGTTAAATGCTTTAGAGTTTATGTTAATGTATTTAACCTGAATAAAACTTCATTTTTAGTCATCTGATCAGGTGGGATTTCATAGTTGAACTAAAGGAAAAAATTACTTCTTTTTCCTCTCTCGGGAGAGAAAACTTAGCAAGGAAACACTAAGTCTCTTAGTAATTTAAAACTAGCTCTCAAAATCATATAGTATCTTAAATTATAGTTCAATTTCTTAAAGATAATTTTATGCTTTATTGGGGATTTGGCTTTCTGAGTAAAATTCTTTCTCAATTAATGACACTATGAGTCATTATCTCTGTCCTATGTTGGATTATAACCCTGAGGTTCATTACTGCCCAGGAGCCCCGCTGGTATTCAGGGTGAGCATTTGGGGGTGAATTTGTGATCATCTGCCCCAGGGAGGGGTGCTGGTGCTTTGGCCCTCCGTTACTCGGAAGTTATATTAAAACGTTATGAATAAAGCATGAATTTAACTTCTACATTTACTTAGAAAAAAGACTTATTTAGCAGATTTAAAAATTTTGTATATGTAATGAGAAGCTAATTGTGTATCCAAAAATAATATTGGGCCCTGGCCAGTTTGGCTCAGCGGTTGGAGCGTCGGCCTGCGGACCAGAGAGTCCTGGGTTCGGTTCCCGCTAGGGTTGTGTACCAAAAAAAAAAATGATATTGGTAATTAGAAGAGTAATTTTCAATTATCTTAAAAATACATAATGCTATCCTCTTTACCAGTGTTATTGGGCAGTATTGTCACTACCTAGCAATTTTTTTAGCTAAAGTATAAGCATACCATTTATACATATATATCATAAATCATTTTATGAAAAAAATTTTACTTTCTGAAATAGTCTGTATTTAATGAACACAATTCAACATTTTTAGTTATTCTGCCTATTGATTATGGTGCTGAGCTGTGATAATCAGTTATGTACCTAAGGGTTAATAAACTAGGTAGAGATGTTTTTCCTTCCAAAATATAACCCAGATCACTGTGCTGTTTGAATTCTCAGGCATACATTCATTTCTTTCTTCTTCCTGAGCTATCCTTCTTGCCACTGGTGATGTGCTTGAATCCTCTCTCTTTTGCTGGTTTGAAGTTTCTGCAAAATAGAAAACCAGTTAGTAAAACTTGGTAACAATGACCTATATTATACGGAGAAAACCAACTCTAATTTAAGAACCCTTGTGAAAGAGAAAATGCTTGAGCTTGGTGCATGAACACTGACACGCACTTTGGATTTTCTGACGTCCTTTTGGCGTCCTTTTGCATTCTGGACTGTCTTCTGTGTTGTCATGCTGCCTGAGCACAGCTGTTTGCTGGACCAATGGCTTTCCAGACAGCCTTGCAGGTGTTTCTTCCCCTGCTTTGCAGATCCTGGCTGATGAGCTAAGAATGAACACAACAGGGCTTACAAAACACCTGAAATCTTGGAAGTTGTCATTCAGCACTTACTACCTCAGAGGACATAGCTGAAGACCATGGAGGGCTCTGTCTGTGTCCCACGGTTTCTGTTTCAATAGCTCCAAGTTTTCTTTCAGATTGATTTTGACATGTCAAATTTTGATTTGAAAGACAAATTCTAGATTGAGAAAAAAATGGTCACATTTCAAGAAAAGCAACATCTGTGATAACCCAGGACGTGGAACAGTCACAGGGCAATTGCTGCAGTCATAGTTCCTTAGCCTCCTCCTTGGCAGGACAGAGGAGTGGCCTCTCAGCTTGCCGACCTTGAACCTCACTGCTTAGTACATGGGGTCAAGGATACTAGTCTGCGGAGAGGGTAATACAGAGAGTGGGGTGTGCTGAAGTGTAACTGAAAAACCATTGGCAGTTTTAGGGTTGGTCATTGGAGGTTTTCTTTCCTAATAACATTTGTGGGTTTATAGATTCTGTCCCCTCTGGGACGAATTAATGAAGCAGTGAATGATCTTACTAAAGCTATTCAGCTTCAGCCCTCTGCACGGTTGTACAGACATCGGGGGACCCTGTACTTCATATCAGAGGTGAGTAATTTTTGCCTTGAAACTTTTCCTTTCGTGATGATAAAGAGTTCACTTTCCTTCCGCTTCAGAAAGCTGCTGTGGATTTGGGTTTGAGGCTGCATAGTATGCAAGGCAATTAGTTATAAGAGCATTTTCTTTAGCTGAAATTGGACCCATAGACTAAATAGTAAGTGCCAACAACACATTGCTTGAACTGTCAGCAGTAACTAATTCAGGATGAGGGGGAAAATATATATATAGAGAGAGAAGCAGAAGAGAAATTTGGTTCATAGATTATACTTCAGCCTTTCTTGGAAAGATCAGCATGGGGAAGCAGGTGTGCCTGCTGTCAGTGTGATCATTAAACTCAGAGGGACGATTCGAATTCCTCTGGGGTCACAACCCGAGAACCATGACCTGAACTAATATGGCTTCCCAGACTCTAGCCTCTCTCTGTGGGTGACCCATATCTAGCCAGATTATCTTTTATCATTACAGTGGTATTTGTGATGGCCACAGTTACCTTTTTGAGTTTACATAATGTTTATAATAATTTTCTAATGCAAATATATATATATATTTTTAAAATCTCAGCATAATACATCTGAATGTTGAGCTCTGGCATAATTACTTTAAAGGATTCAATATTATAAAATATTAGTACCGGAAAATAATTTTTAAAATTTCTCTAACAGGTTATGACTTTAATATTATTTAAAATAATACTCTTTTTATAGTTGAGACAGTATGCTTAAATTAAACCTTTGAGTTTTTTCCATCAGCTTCCTAAGAAAATCAGTTATTTAAACAAACAGTGTAAGAATTCAGCTTAATAATACTTATGGTCATGAAATGTTTCCTTTAAAGCTAAAAAGGGCACAGAATAAATTGGGATTTTTTTCTCTCCCAATCAGAAGCAGGAAATGTCCAAATATCTAATGAATGCTACTTTATTTTTTCCACTCTCCCTTTCGTAGGATTATGCAACAGCCCACGAAGACTTTCAGCAGTCCTTAGAACTGAACAAACACCAGCCTATAGCCATGCTATACAAAGGGTTAACTTTCTTTCACAGAGGACTTCTGAAGGTGATCCAGCGTCACTGTGTGTGATCTGATGCGTCTGCTGTCACTTTGCAGTGGGGACAGTCTTGTTCAGCATGTTTCCCCGAGTCTCAGTGTAGCCAGTTGGTTTACTTCAGACGTAGTTTGAGTGAACATGGTATTGAGCTCCTACTATTTGGTAAGTGCTGAGGAGGGCACCGAGGGGAGAGGACCGAAGGTTAGTCAGGGGAGGACCGATGCCGGACACTTGCAGGAGACACACCTCCCACAGAATTTATCGTGTGGTAAGTGCACTGAAGAAAGTAATATGAACAAAGTGCTTTGGCGACAAAGATAAGAAAGATTCACTTAAACACAGAGTTAGAGAAAGTTCCAGAGAACAAGTGGGCTTTGTCCTGGGCTTTGAAGGCAGAGGAGAGTGGGTGGCTGAAGAAGAGTACTTCAGGTGGGAGGAAGGCATGAGGATGACAGAAACGCGGGGGTGACAGGAACGTGGAAGTGCGGGAGGAAGGCGCGGGGGTGACAGGAACGTGGAAATGCGGGAGGAAGGCGCGGGGGTGACAGAGAAATGCAGCCCATTTGTGGAGCATGAAGTCAGGGTGTGTGAGGGAGATGGGCCTGGGAAGTTGGAGGAGGGGGGAACTGCACAGTCCAGAGTCCTATGCTAAGTGTTTTGACTTTAATTTGTAGGCCCGGAGAAGGTGTACAGCCTAGATTTGGGGGGAAATGGGCAGCTGAGACTAAAGGTGTCTGGGAAGTGGATCCTTACCCGATAGCGGCTGAGGAGGTGCGGGACAGGACTGATGGGGAGACAGACAGTGCTAGCTCCAGGTCGGGGGTGGTGAGACTTAACTGGGCTCCTCCAGGAGCAGGTTGGGGCACCTCTGAGATTCATGGGTCACACTGCTGTCCTCTGAAGACTGCTCGTGGGCGGAGTTGAGGGAAACAGGAAAGGCGTCATCTTAGCTGACCCACTGTTTGGGGCAGAAATGCCACCTCCAGCCCGTCGCTTCTCCCTGCCGAGTCTGCATTGGAGCATGTGCTGAGGACCTGTGCCAGGAGCGAGCAGGCCAGGATCACGGCTAGGAGCCGACAGCAGGGCTCTGGCCTCTTACCATGGCCCCTTGGTGCCCCTCGGTGCCCCAGGCCCACACAGTAGGCGCTCCAGTACAGGGCACACCAGATGTGCCCGACTGAAGACAGGCAGTCAGCACAGGCGAAAACCCCTTCAACTGACTAACAGGTCGAGAGTCTTCACAGAGAAGGTGGAAAGCTAGGAAGAGTTCACACACGGGGCAGCAAAAGGTACTCTGGCAGAATGAACACGACTTTATCATTGGAGAGAGTTCTGAGGGTCACACATGCACACACGCGGCGGTGGGGAGAGGATTTGCCTTTAAGAAGGCCACGTGTTATAAACCCTCAGAGGTACAGACAGTGCCTGCCACATAGTAGTTGCTCAATAAGTATTAGTGGAATAAATGAATTTCAAGGGCAGAACATTGAATTTGGAGTCGCAGGTCTTGGAATCCAACTGGCTCCGAGTCTTTGTAACTGCGTGCTGGACAAGTTACTTAAACTCTTTGGGCCTCTCCTTCCACACCTGTCAAGGGGAAGATTCTGCTCTCTGCTTCTTGAAGTGATTGTGAGAATTAAATAAAACTTTGTTTGAGAGATTCTCTATAAGCTGTAACCATGAATCAGGTAATAATCATAATGGATTATTTTACCTGTGAAAATTTAATCTATGTTTTATAGACTAAAAAAATAATAGAACTCCCATTCACTAAACACCAATCCGAAAAGACTTTGCCAGTTTTATTTTATACACCTCAGACCCTTTGAGTCTGTGGAGGGTTGTCCTGCCAGGACTCTGCCCTGGGGGTTCAGACTGGCCGCGGGGCTGGGGGAGCAGTTCCTGAGCACGTGCCCCGAGCAGCGGCTGGGTGGACTTTCCCTGCCGCATCCTGTCTGCTCTCTCTCCTCTCGTCTCTCTCGGTCACCATAGATGAAACTTCAGGGTCGCAATACTGTATTCATACTCTGCCCCTTGAATAGCTTATGGAGGAGAAAAAGATCGGAATATAGAAATGCCAACTATTTTTTAAAGTAAACAAATGCAAACGATTTCCCTTTGAACTGTAAAGCCAGGTTGAGGCAGGTGGGCAGGGATCTTAGTTATTTCAAAATGAGAATTTTTCAGAAAAGCACTGTAATGGAGACACTAATTACAGATTGGACAAGGACTAAGATTCAGTTCGATTTATGCTAAATCTCCATGATGAGAACCCAGAACCAGTGCTTTCATTCTCTGAATGTTTGAAGCCCCTCGGTAAGCCAATCCTACGGAAACTATGGGGTCCTTCCTCCTTTGCACCGTGCTCACAGATACAGCATTAGCGTGTGTAACAGATAGGACTTCCTCTGCGTTTTATAGACCTGCTGTCCGAGGAGGTCAGAGTGTTTATGTATTGTCTCATTCATCCCAGCGACATCCCCATGAAGTGTAGAAGGAGCAGAGGGTGTCTTAATTACCCAGATTGGAAACTGAGTCAGTGGCGAAATGCCTTCATTAAAGTAACAAACTTAGTTTAGATATCTGTTTCTCTTGTGAACTGTAGACACAAAGTATTAAATGGACCAGAGAGTGAGCTACCTTTATATCCTGAAGGGGTCTCTCCAGGTCAACAGCAATTTAGAAATTAGTTAAGTGAGTGATGCCATGTTTACTTTATAATACGTTAGAAATATATTATATATATATATTACATGACAGATTTCACAGCTGTCTATCTCAGTCGATGTATCAGACATTTTGGATTTTCCTAGGGAAAAAACAGCAAACTTTTTTCTATTGGATTCTCTGTTTTATCTGTGTTTCAAGGATACTTTAAAAACTGTGTATTCCGAGCACGTATTTGGATCAGCCTTCCCTCTGAGAATCCTGGGTTGCTCTGTCGCAGCCAGCGAGGGAGGGCCGCGCAGGTGCTGGTCGCATTGCTGCGCTGACATTCAGAGCCAGTTCGTATGCGTAGAGATTGACTCACTCGAACGAATGTCTTTGTTCCCGATGGCTTAAAATCTTGATTCTGCTATGTCCCCTCTTTGGCAGAATGAGGTAGAGAGCTGTGCAGTGATTAGACAGGAACCCCGAAACCAAAGCCTCTTAAAAGCTGAAGAGAAATCAGACTTTGAAGAACTGTGGCGTCCGAGCATGCTGTAAGTGCAGTGGGCAGCAGGTGGCCCTGGGCATCTCCCCCAGACGTCCACAAACACTCCAGACTTAACACGCCCCAGCTGGACTCATGCCCCTCGCCCTCCTGCCGCTGTCCTTCCCCCGTCCTCCTCACATTGGTTAACGCTCTCGCCCCCACCCAGACTCTTCAGCTGAAAAACTCCCCACCCTCACTTCTCCCTGTGTCATACCCAAACAACCACCCAGTTCTGTCTTGGTTTGCTTTTACAGATGTCTCTCGAATTGGACGCTTTTTTCTCTCCTGAGACACTGTCTCAATTCGAGCCCCCTCCTCCTTGGGCTCCATTCTCTCCTCTCTCCAGTCTGTCTTCTCTGTTGCATAGGAGTGATCCTGTCCAGAGTCCATGTGTGAGGTCGCACGCCTGCCTGCAGCCCCCCCAGTCCTCACTGCTTGCTGGGACCGGCCAGACTGCAGAGCATGGCCCCAGCTGACCACAGGCCTGGTTCCCATCTCTTCCATCTCTGCCACTCCCCCCCCCCCCCACCGTGTAGCCTGTACTCCTGCTGACCCCCGCACACCCCATTCTGAGCACCCTGGGCCCTGTGCAATCCCCTTCCCTGTCCACAAGGCCTCTGTCTTCCCCAAGTTCCTCTCGTTCTCCGAGACCCAGCTCAGCTGGCACTTCCTCTGTGACGCCTCTTCTGTACCCCAGGTTCAGTTAGCTGTGCCTTCCTCTTCGTCCCGAGACTGACTCGTACCTCTGTCGTAGTTCTTAGTTCATTTCCTAATAACCTGGGTAGATGACAGCTGTCTAACTCGACTGTGAGTTCTGAGAGGACAGAGATAATGACCTGTTCATCTTTGTCTCCCCTGTGCCTCACACTGCCTGGCACATAGTAGGCACTAAATACGTGTTTGTTGAATTAAAAATATAGTTCTAACAGTCTTCAAAATCAAGACTATGCCACAATAGGAAGCCTAATTTACAGTGGCTTTTAACTTTCTTAAATATTAAAATTTACTTAATTCTTACCTTTCTACCAAACAGCATTCAGTTGAATTCCTTAAAGAGCAGGTCGCTGTCCCATTGTTGCTTTGAAGACTTTGAAAAAGCCAGCCTCTCTTGCCCTGCTGCCCCGCCCCCCACCCCGAGAAAATCAAGAAGCAGGGAATGAATGACTTTTGAAAAGAATTAGGATTGTACTGCTTTTGCAAAATGCTCTTGTGTGCCTACCAAATCATGAGCTATTTATTGAGTGCCTACCATGTGCAGGGCATGTGACATCTTTAGTAGTTCTCTACTCTGAACTATCTAATCAGGTGTGACATGATTGTCACGGAAGTTATAAAGTCTTTCTCATTAAAGCTGTTAGAGAGCATGATACTTTGTAGCCATTAACTTAAGTAAGATACGTCTTTTCCTTGGGAAATGTGTGAAATGTCTTCATAATCTTTTGTTAGAGTAAATAATCAAATCATAATGAAAAATACATTTGGTACTATTTTAAGCCTAGGATGTTGGTTCTGAAACGGAATGGTACATTTTGTAACGGTTTTCACAGGGAGAGTCCCAGGGCAGCCAAGCACACAGTTTTCTACAGCCCCTCCCTGCAGCGTGGCGCCCCGTGGCCTCCATTCCCTTACCCAGACCTAGCATTTTGCTGGCAGGAGCTAGGCCCGCACACCCAACTTTAAGGTTTCTGTTTTATTTTGTTTTACAGTTTCTTTTTCCTTGTAGATAATGGGAATCCTTCAGCTAGCCAGTCTAGGAGCCTTTTGCTTGTTTTATAAACAATTTCACCTTGGGCTTGCTTTTGTCCCCTCTTTTGTTGGTTCAATTTTATTGCTGCTAGTTATGGTCATTTTGAGTTATTTCACAGTTATTAGGCTTTTGTTGTTTCACGGGCCTTTTATTCCTTAAGGAAAGGATATGAATAAGGAGTTATGGTTAGACTAACAGTCCTGATGAGAAGATAGTAAGGAGCTGGTTTCCCGTTTTGAAAGGAAAGACAGGGCGCTGCTCCTGTTCCTAGTAACACGTTTGTTTACCACTGAGATTAAATCCTCCAGACTCCCAGCTCACTGTACTTTCTACCTCTCTCGTCTTGAAGTCCTCCTATTTAAAAGAAAATCACTAGGAGACCATGTATAATATATATTTAAGTGCTTAAGTGATTTGAGCGAAACTCAATTTTAACAATCATGCAAATGAAATAATTTTCTGTAAACTTTTTATAGGAAGCTATTGAATCCTTCAAAGAAGCTTTGAAGCAGAAAGTTGATTTTATTGATGCGTATAAAAGTCTGGGGCAGGCCTATCGGTAAGTAGACTAATAGGAGTCGGATAGGTGGGAGGACGCAGTGGAGAAGCAAGACAGCCTCATGTAACAGTGGGACCTCAGTGAAATTGCATTTCTTAACCAGAAGAAATGGTCATTCTGAATCGCGTAGGCATGTACATACTTGCTAAGGTCTTTCCTGGAATATAGAAGGAACCGTGTATCAGAGGATATCATGGTACATACTGCTGATCTCTTTAACCAGCTTCAGTTTGTATATGTTTCAGTCTGGAAAATGAGAGTGGCCTTATAAGCTGTTGAGTTATAGATGCTGCTGTTTTTTTTGGGGGGGGGGGGGGCGGGCATAAGGAAGGTTAATACCCACATCACTGTGATCTGTGTGAGGGTTCTGAGAACAGAGGGATGGAAATGTTATAGTTCTGACTATCGGGAATGAGGAGCTGTGCCTAGATCCTGGCTTCCTGGCTCCGTGCAGGCGCGGAGAAGTAGAGCCATCTGACTTGGCTTTGAAAACAAAATGTATACTCTGACTTAGTCAAAGGTACTATAAAAGTTAGAAAAGAAACACAGTAACAGAAACCCCCTTCAGAACTCTGTTAGGTACCTTTTCAGGAAAGATTCAATTCAAGAACTTACTATCTGATGTAATAATTGGAGAATCTCTCTTATCCTGACTTAAAGGAAGTGTATTGGATTCATTTGGGGTTTAAGGAATGAGATTTTTATCCTTCCTGTCCCATGGAGTTGTTGGGACTATCTACTGAAAATAGATCGAAAGCACCTAGTAAATAGTAAAGTGCTGTGTAAATGTAAACTGTTAATTTTTTTTTAATCTTCACCCAAGGATATTTTTCCATTTTTCTTCAGATAGTGTAGGAGGGAAAGAGAGAGAAACATCAGTGTGAGAGAGACATATTGATTGGTTGCCTCCCACATGACCCTGACCAGGCCCGGGGACCAAACCACAACTGAGGTATGTGCCCTTGACTGGAACTGAACCTGAGATTCTTCAGTCTGTGGGCCGTCATTCTAACCACTGAGCAAAACTGGCCATGGCAAATCTGTTAAAATTTTTAAAATATTTATTATTTCTAGAAAATTGACATCTGGGGTATTTTAATAGTACGTTATTATTATTTCTAAACATCTTAATATATAAAAGAAAGTTGGTCAGTAATCACCATTTTCACACTGAAATGATCACAATTCTAAACTATACTTCTTTTTTCGGAATTTTAAATTATATAGCAATATACTAGACTTTAAATAACTTCAGTGACAGAAAAATACAATATTTTAAGCCTATGAATTTGATTCACAATGCTAAACCTTTGTACGATTTTAACCTATATACTTTTTTGTCTTCTGAAGGAGACATGTATGTTTTGATCCAAATACCAAAATTGGGGGGTGGGGGGGACTCTTCATGAATTAGGGGAAGGGATTTGAGTAAGCTGTAAAATAATTTTTCCCAAAGAATTTCAAGAGCTCTGTGGTTTATCCTATAATCTGGTAAGATTTAGAAAAAGTCAATGAGATATGATGTGTCAAAGACTGCATGCTCTAAAGTGGTAAAATTAAAAAGAGAACACCTACGTCAAGGTGTCTGATTCGAGGATTGGACCTTAATTCTGAAGATATCTTATCGTGTGTGTTGGCTAAAGTGTCCATATTATGTTCATAACTATTGCTAACCCTCCAGAGAACTGGGCAATTTTGAAGCAGCCACGGAGAGCTTTCAGAAGGCCCTGCTGCTCAACCAGAACCACGTGCAGACCCTCCAGCTCCGGGGCACCATGCTCTACCACCACGGCAGCTTGCAGGAGGCCCTCAAGCACTTCAAGGTGAGTGTCCCTGGGCGGGCCTGTCGCTGTGGTTCTTAGATTATTCTCCACCGAAGTCGGGGATGAATGGGCCAGGCGGTGAGAACAGTGTTTACACCACAACAAAAAGGAAGGAAAACCACACCCTTGTCCTACAGGCTAGTTTACAGAGCATGTATTTGGTCTGATATAACCTGGAGGGAAAACTTGCCTAATTCCAGATTAAAGAATAAAGCACTTGAATGTTTTCTTAAACTGTATTGATACTAACGCGGCGTTTTCACCTTTGATGCCTCAGCGGTGTCTGCAGCTGGAGCCATATAACGAGGTGTGCCAGTACATGAAAGGACTCAGCCACGTTGCAATGGGACAGTTTTATGAAGGGATAAAGGCACAAACTAAAGTTATGCTCAATGATCCTCTACCCGGCCAGAAGGCCAGCCCAGAGTATCTTAAAGTGAAATATCTCCGAGGTAAGTCAGAAAATTGCAGAATCATTGAATTTTAATGTGAAAAGCTGTAGAAATCATATTGCTTATTTCTTTTTTGTTCCACGAGACACTGGCGTCAAAGGTTCAAGGTGATGTGTCTACAGCCACCCCTCAGTTAGTGGTAACATCTGGACTAGATGGAGTCCATGTCTTCTAAAGACCAGTTCAGGATTTTTTTGTCACTTCCTACATACTTTCTTTCTATAGTTACATCAGTTCAAACTATTCATGTCTTATATCTTATTCAAAGATACAGGAATGACAGGAAAGTAATCTTTCGGGAGGTTTACTGTTACATGTAAAGGTGCTGCCTTTGATCTGTCATTCCTTCATTGCAGAATCCTCACATAGTTTGGAGAAATTAAATTGGGATGAGGAGGGCCCTGGCCAGTTTGGCTCAGCAGTTAGAGCATCAGCCTGAGGACCAATGAGTTGTGGGTTCGATTCCGGTCAAGGGCACATATCTCGGTTGCGATTTGTCCCCGGCCCTGGTTGGGGTCATGCTGGAGGCAGCCACTCGATGTGTCCCTTTCATGTCAATGTTTCTCTCCCTCTCTCTCCCTCCTACTTTATCTGAACAAAAGTAGAAAAATGTCCTTGGGTGAGGATTAAGGAAAAAAAAATTGGAATGAAGAGGAAAGGAAATCTTTGAGTTATCCTTTTATTAGTCATGGTCTTACCTTCTCAGTGCCATTCATAAAGATGATTTTGTTTTTCATATTAAACCCAGATCTTTACTTCCGTTTCCTGTCTTTCGTCTACATTAAGCCTCTACACCAGTTCTGTCCAACTGAAAAAAATCGCAAACTATATGTAATTGAACATTTCTAGTAGGCACATTAAAAAAGTAAAAGCAAACAGGCGGAGTGAATTTTAACAATACATTTTATTTAATTCAGTATATCCACAATATTAGTTCAACATATAAGTAATATGAAAACACTATTCATTTGATATTTTACTTTTTTTGTGCCAAGTCTTCAAAATCTGCACTTACAATACATCTCAATTTGGATACTAAATTTTTATTGAAAATATTTGATCTAAATTTAGATTTTATAAAATTTAAAGTTGAAAAAGCAGATTCATATGTACAAGTTGTTCCAAACATACTGAAGTTTTCTAATTGAATCAAATATGTTTTTAAGTTTAGCCCTGGCCAGTTTTGCTCAGCGGTTAGAGCCTCGGCCTGTGGTCCAGAGAGACCCGGGTTCGGTTCCAGCTAAGGGCACGTACCTTGGTTGCAGTTTGTCCCCGGCCCTGGTTGGTCGTGTGGGTGGCAGCCACTCCATGTGTCCCTTTCACATTGATGTTTCTCTCTCTCTCTTCCTCTCTCTCCCTCCCACTCTATCTGAACAAAAAATGGAAAAATGTCCTCGGGTAAGGATTAAAAAAAAAAAAATTAAGTTTAGATTAACTCAAATTAAATAAAATTTTAAATCTAGTTTCTCAGTCGCCCTAGCCACATCCAAGTACTCACTAGCTATGTGGCTATGGGCTGCCGATTGAGCAGCACAGCTCTGCCCTCAATTACAGTTTCCTCTTTTTTCCTGGTTTGGGAGAACCTGGACTTGTGAACTGTGGGGCACTCCATGTCCTGGGTTTTCCCCCTATACTGCTGTGTAGAGATAAGCAGCAGTCAGTCAGTCAGTTGATGAAATTGAATATGTAGGCAGTTATTCATCTATCAGTTGACAGAGAACCAGACTCCATTTGACACTGAACTTGGATTCTCAGAATCTGGAACTGAAAAGTGAGACCTTTGGTATAGTTCATGGAAGGGTGGTTAAAATTTAACCAAAGTGGGCCTAGGTTGACTGGCTTGTATTTCACCCTGGCCACTCAAATCAGTGGCACTTTACTCCAATTATCATATAGTAGCGACTTAGTTAAATGTGGAGTCTCCATTTAGAATTCTTTTTTGTTAGTGTTAATCCTCACTCAAGGGTACTTTTTCCATTGATTTCTAGAGAGTGTGGAAAGGAAGGAGGGAGAGAGAGAAACATCAACATGAGAGAAACACATTGATTAGTTGCCTCCTGCACGACTACTGGGGTTGGGAATAGAACTTGCAACCCAGGTATGTGCCCTTGACCGGAAATCGAACCCACAACCCTTTGGTCCATAGGCCGATGCTCTGCTGCTGAGCTAAACAAGCTAGGGCCATTTACAATTTTATAATTAAATAACAGTTTGTTACAAAGTATTTGTATGGCAGCCAGCTATAAAAAAATGTTTCTCGGGCAGTATTTGGTGTGTCAGATCTCGTTTCCTGTCTGCAGAGTATTCTCGGTACCTTCATGCACACCTTGATACGCCCCTTACGGAATATAACATCGATGTGGACCTGCCTGGAAGCTTCAAAGACCACTGGGCCAAAAACCTGCCTTTCCTCATAGAAGACTACGAAGAGCAGCCAGGGCTGCAGCCCCACATAAAGTAAGTGCTTTAAATTAGTTTTTTTTTCTTTTTCAAGACTGAACTACAAGTTCATCATAATATCTCTTAATTGATAAATGGCGTTCTATTCATGTTTCTGATTATTATTTTTATTATTTGGATTAGACATGTCTGCAAGTATTTTTTTTAGTTCATAAAGTATCGTGAAACTTACCTTTGGATAGTATAATTTCTTCTAGTCTGATCTTCCCTGCTAATTTTGGGCAGTCATCAAACTTCAGATATTTTGTTTGTTTGTTTTGTTTGTTTGTTTTTCTTTATTTTTAGAGAGAGGAAGGGAGATGGAGAGAGAAACAGAAACATCCATGAAAGAGAACATCAGTTGGCTGCCTCCTGCATGCCCCCCACTGGGGGTTTGGCCCACAACCTGGGCGTGTGCCCTGACTGGGAATCGAACTGGCATCCTCTTGGTGCGTGGGTCGACTCTCAGCCACTGAGCCACACCAGCTGGGCCAGATGTTTTTGTATTTATTGACAGTCTTTGATAAGCATTATTCTTTTGCCACGTTACTTCTTTTTTTTTTTTTCCAAATCTTTATTGTTGGATGTAAAATGTATTAGAGATGTTCCACATTTTTCCCCCATTGACCCCCTCCTCCCCACTCCCGCCCCCCTCCCACCTTTTCCCACACTATTGTCTGTGTCCATTGGTTATGCATATAAGTTCTTTGGTTTATTTCTTCCCACCCCCCCAACCCCTTTCCCTTTGAGGTTTGTCAGTCTAGCAATGAGTTTGTGCTTCTTAATCCCTTCACCTTTTTCACCCATTCCCCCAACCCCCTTCCCAACTGGCAACCAATAAAATGTTCTCTGTATCTATGAGAATGTTTCTGTTCTTCCTGTTCATTTTGTTTGTAGATTCCATTGTTGATAGATATGTATTCATTGCCATTTTGTTTGTTCATACATTTTATCTTTTTCTTCAAAAAGACCCTTCATCATTTCATATAATAACGGTTTGGTGGTGATGAACTCCTTTAACTTTTTCTTGTCTGGGAAAGTTTTTGTATGTCCATCGATTCTAAATGACAGCTTTGCAGGATAGAGTAATTTTGGTTGTAGGTTCTTGGTTTTCATCACTCTGAATATTTCTTGCCACTCCCTTCTGGCCTGCAAAGTTTCTTTTGAGAAATCAGCTGACAGCCTAATGGGTACTCCCTTGTAGGTAACTAGCTGCCTTTCTCTTGCTGCTTTTAATATTCTCTCTTTGTCTTGAACCTTTTGCATTTTGATGATGATGTGTCTTGGTGTGGGCCTCTTGGGGTTCATCTTGTTTGGGACTCTCTGTGCTTCCTGGACTTGTATGTCTGTTTCCTTCACCAAGTTAGGAAAGTTTTCTGCCATTATTGTTTCAAACAGGTTTTCGATTTCTTGTTCTCTCTCTTCTCCTTCGGGCACCCCCAAGATGCGAATGTTGGCACGCTTGAAGTTATCCCAGAGGCTCCTTACTCTATCCTCTTTTTTTTGGATTCTTTTTTCTTTTTGCTCTTCTGATTGGGGATTTCTTGCTTCCTTATATTCCAAATCGATGGTTTGCTCCTTGGATCTACATACTCTATTATTGAAGCTGTGTAAATTATTCTTTATTTCAGTTAATGCCTCCTTCAATTCTAACTGTGTATCCATGATTTCTAACTGGTACTTTTTTATGCTCTTGATGCCCTCCCTAAGTTCACTGAGGTTCTCACTAAGTTCATTGAGCATCCTTATAAGCAGTATTTTGAACTCAGTATCTGTTAGGTTGCTTATCTCCCTTTCGCTTAGTTCTTTTATTGGGGTTTTGTTCTGTTCTTTCATTTGGGACCTGTTTCTTTGTCTCCTCATTTTGGCTGCCTCCCTGTGTTTGTTTCTGTGTATTACTTAACAAGAGGTATGGGGCTCGCTGAGACCCGGTGCTGCTCGTTTGAAAGAATTTAGGAAAAACCTGAAGCAGGATCCAAGACCGGCCAATCCTATGGTTAAGCAAGTGGCAACAGCTTGAAAGTTGGGTGGGGCGGGGCGGGGCGGGGCGGGGCGGGGCGGGGCCTCAGGGAGTCAGCAGGGCGGGGCTACGAGTGTGAGCCAGGTTGCTGGAGTCCCAGATATGGCTTCTGTCTGCCGCCCCCGGGAAGGGCTCACCAAAGGAACAAAGGCCTCTGACAGCACGTTTGTCCCCGAGGAAGCCCCCTCTCCAGCTCTCGCTCCAGTGCCAAACAGCTCAGTTCTTCCCTGTGTGTCTCTGGTGCCCCTCGAGCTGCCTCCCCTCCGAGCTTAGAGGGAGAGAATCCGATAAGTCCGTGGGTGGGCCCTTTAAGGAGCTGCCTGGGGCTCCAGCCGCTTCAGCTTCCCTGAGCCTCAGTTTCCGCTGGTTTTTCCAGCCAGAAGTTATGGGGATTCTCTTCCTGGCACTGGAACCCAGAACGGGACACCTGGTGTGGGACGGGGACCCCCTCAGTCCTCAGGAAGGACCTTCCCAGCCGCGGGATCCTCCTGATTTTTATCCACCACGCTTGGGTGTGGGACCAGCCCGTCTCGCCGCTGTGTGCTCCGCCGCGGCTGTGCCGCCGCCCCCCCCTCACGCCGCCGCCCCTCCTACCGGTCTGGATGTAGCTGCTTCTTTTTTTTCCTTAATTCCGTAGTTGTACGACTTCCATTCAGCTTGATTTCAGGCGGTTTTGAATGATGGTTGTTCTGTAGTTTAGTTGTAACTTTGATGTGGTTGTGGGAGGACGCGATACTGCGTTTACCTACGCCACCATCTTGACCGGAAGTCCCTGCCACGTTACTTCTTAAAACAAATTACTTAACATATTGGAAATCTGAAATGACCCTGCTGCTGCAGTATGGCAAAGCAGAGATATTACAGGGCTATCCCATTACAACGCTGTGAGCTCTAGAATAGACACTGATTCCTGGGAGTCTGCAGTGTCTTAAAAATTAAGGAAAATCTGTGAAGAGCAACTCTCTCACTCTCTTAAAAGAAAGTAAGGGGAATTCAACCTAGGAGTGGTGAATGGTCAGCACATTTAAACGGAAGTATCCCGGGGAGTAAGCGTATCTGACAGCGCCTGCAGCAGAACGCCTGGAGGCACAGGCAGGAGGGGCTGCTGAACTTCCAAGGCTACACTGATTCCATGTTGGAGGCATTTCCAGGATCCCAGCAGAAGCGAATGCAGACTCTTCCCAGGAAGAAATCAGTTTGGGCCCCAACTATTCCCACAGAATATGATTGTTAATGTCAGAATCAACAGAAACAGCAAACAATAGACTTGGACCCTGAAGGACTTCAGATATTGAAATTGTTGAATACAGACTCTAAAATAACTCCAAATGAAGTGTTTTAAAAAATTATAAAGAAATCACAAACATGAACAAGAAGATTATGAAAGATGACCAGGCAGATTAAAATAATTGGAAGCTTTAGGAATAGAAAATATAATTATTGAAATGAAGAATTCAGTATGTAGGCTAAACAGATTAGACATAGCTGAGAGAAAATTGGAAAATAGAGCATTAGGTATCCAGAGTATAGCACAGATTGTCATGGAGTTAGAAAACATGAAAAAGATAAAAGATGTGGAAGATGTAAGAAGGTCTAGCACATATCTTATTGAAATCTCAGGAGAGAATAGGAAAGAAGCAATTAAGAAAATGTCTAAGAATTTTGCAGAACTGAGAAATGGAGAAACACCTAAATCCACAGATCTATGTTTAAAAGAGGTAAATGAAAAAAAAATTGGAGAACACCTCAGATAAGGAGGAAATTCTTAAAAATAGAAAGGAAAGTCATGTGACTTAATTGGGGCCAATAATCGTATTAATTATGAGCCTCTCCACATCATAAGGGCAGTTCGAAGAAAATGGAGTAATATCTTCAAAGTGCTAAAGGAAAATAACTTGCAGAATAGAATTTTAGACCCAGCAAAGCTATCTTTTGAGGATAAAGATCCAATAAATGTATATAGTCAGATAATAAAAAACGTAATTAACCAACAACTGGCATTCACTAAAGGAATGTCTAAAGTATGTAATTAGGAAAGAAGGCAATTGATTCCAGGAGTAAGATTTGAGATACGAGAAGCTATAATGAGACCCTGGCCAGATAGCACAGTTGGTTAAAGCATCATCCCAATATGCCAAGGTTGTGGGTTCGATCTCAGTCAGTGCATATACAAGAAGCAACCAATGGCCCAGCTGGTGTGGCTCAGTGGACCGGGTGTCATCCCATGGACTGAGAGGTTGGGCCCAGTTTGATTCCCAGTCAGGGCACATACCGGGTTGTGGGCTCGATCCCCAGTAGGGGGTGTGCAGGAGGCAGCCGATTGATGTTTCTCTCACATCGATGCTTTTATTTCCCTCTTCCTTCCTCTCTAAAAAATCAATAAAAGCATATTTTTTTAAAGAAAAGAAGCAACCAATGAATACATAAATAAGTGGAACAACAAATTGGTGTTTCTCCCTCTCAAAAAAATACATTTTTTAAAAAAGAAGGAATAATGATAAAAAAAAATTGATAAGCATGGTAAATTGGTAAGTCTTAAACAAGCATTGTTTATATAAAATAAAACCTAATTTGTGGGCTAGTAAAAAGGAGAGAAAGAACATACTGAGCAAAAATAGCAAGTAAGTTGAGGGATAATAAAAGTATTCCAAGAATGTGGGTTAAATATTATGTTAAGACTTTAAGTTATATATAAATATTTAAAATATCTAGGGTAAGTACTAAAAGTTAGAAAAAGAGTGTACAACTTCCATATTAGTAGAAAAGTAAAACTAAAGAGAAAAAAATTAAATCTAAAATCAACCAAAATATGGAACAAAGAAATATAAAAAATAATAAGAATAGGTTGAAATAAATCCAGATATATCAGTAATAACAAGAAATATAAATGGACTAAACATCAGTTAAAAGACAGGCATAGTTGGATTAGAATTTTAAAAAAATCCAATGCTGTACTTTTTACAAGGGGCACCTAATGCATAAGGACACGGAAAGATTGAAAGTGAAGGAATGGAAAAAGTTATCCAAGGGAAACAGACTGGAAGGATCCTGGGGTAGCTATATTAATATTAATGAATTTAAACTAAAAAGAAAGAGAATTACTTGGAATAAAGATTAGTACTACAAAATGGCAAAGGTTCAAAAAACCAGGAAGATATAAATATAAACTTATATATGCGTAATAAAATAACTTCAAAAATTAATAAAAATTCACAGAGAAATCAACAAATTCAGTATCCTAACAAGAGAGTCTGATTTTTGATTGATCAAACACCAAAAAACTAGTAAAGATTTAGGTTATTTGAACAACACAAACTTGAGTTATTAATCAACTGTACACAATAATTTAAAAATATATATTATTTTCAAGCATATTTAGATCATTTATAAAGATTGACTACTTTCTATGCATATTTCGATACATTTCAAATAATTGGTATCATATCTGACCGATATGATTAAATATATATATAAAATATCCTCATTATTTGGAAATTAAGAAGCACACATATTGAAATATGAATTAAAGATGAAATTACATGGACATTTTAATATACTTTTAAAATGAACAAAAATGAAAATACCACATACTACCAACACCCATGGAATGTAGTGAAACCAATATTGTGAAAAATATTAATGTCCTTAAATGTTTTACTAGTAAAAAAGCAAATTAGTAGATAAGTATAAAAATTAAGGAGTAAGAAAAACAACAAAGAAACCAAAAAGAAAAAGCTGAAGAGAGAAATTAATAATAAATATGTAACAGAGAGGTTCGTCAAAGTCAAAATTTTGTCTCTTTTTTACTAAAAAATTTCTGGTGAGATTGATTTTTTTTTAAATAAGAAAAGGAAAAAAACGCAGACTTTTAGAGTTGATATAAAGAGATACCACCACAGATCCACAGATACTAAAACGCTAAGAAAAGAATGCTATGAAAACTTCTATACAAATTGTTTAAACACAAAGAATAAATGAACAGACTTCTAGAAAATCACAATTTGCAAAACTGACTTGATAATAAATAAAAAGTCTGAACAGTCCTATAATTATTAAACATATTGAATTGGTATTTAAAATATTCACACTTATAATCACACCACACACACACACACACACACACACACACACACACACACCAGAATCACCAAGCCCAAAGACATTACAGGAGTTCCCTATCAGACTTTTAAGAAAATAGATAGTAATATTCCCAAATTATTTTGTGAGGTCAATATGACAATGATACCAAACCAGACAAGGATTATACATGAAAGGAAAAGTAGAGGCCAATCTGTTCTCACTGATAAATATGGATGTAAGAATCCTAAACAAAATATTGGTAAACCAAACTCATCTGTATACAAAAAAGATAACCAAGTTGGATTGTTCCTAGGAATAGAAAGGTAATTTAATTTTAGAAAATATATAAGTATAACAGATGAATGGAGAAAACTCACATAATTGTGTGAATAGATACAGAAAAACAACTAGAAAAAATTAACCATTTATGCTTTTAAAAAGATAAAACTCTTAGCAAACTAGAAAAACAAAAGTATTTCCATAGTCTGATAAATGGTATCTATCAGAAACCTATAGCAAACATCATTTTAACTAATGAAGTATAAGATACATTTCTATTAAAATCAAGAACAAGATAAAAAAGGCTAAAATTATTTTTCTTCAGCAGTGAACTGACATCCTAGAAAGTGCAGAGAGATGAAAAATGAAAGTTTATGGATTAGAAAGGAAGACAGAAAATTGTCGTTATTTGCAGATCACATGATTTTTTTACAAAACAAAAAACCCAGAAAATTTACAAATTATAAGAACTGCTGCCCTGGCCAGTTTGGCTCAGCGGTTGAGCATCAGCCTGTGGACCAGAGAGTCCTGGGTTCGGTTCCCGCTAGGGGCACGTACCACAAAAAAAAAAAAAAAAAAAAAAGGAAAAAAAAAATGCTAAGAGTTTAGCAAGGTGGTTGATTATAATTAATATACAAGAATCATTAGCATTTCTATACAACAAACAAAAATAGTTTACAATAGTGATAAGTACTTAGGAATGTATCTTACAAAAGATGTACAAAATCTATATGGAATTCATTATAAAACTTTATTGAAAGATACTAAGAAAACAAATGCATGGAGGGAAATACCGTGTTCATGAATAGGAGGCCCAATGATATCAATAGGTCAGTTGTCTGCAAATTAATTATAGATCTAATAAAATGCCACTCAAAATTTGAAACAAAGTCTTTTGAGAAACTTGATAAGCTAATTCTATAAATTATGTGGAGGAAAAAAGGACCAAGAGTCATCAAGATACTCCTGAAGAAGACAGTGCCCAGACTTGGAGGGGAAGGTTCTCATCCTACCAGATAGCAAGACTTAAGACACCATGAAGATTGAGTGTTATTGGGGCGGGGACAGACAGGTAGACCAGAGGAGCACAGCAGGGAGCTCAGAAGCATTTACCAGAGCTTAGATGAATGGCAGACGTATGTGTGGATCAGAGGGGGACTCGTCTGTAAGCGGCAGTGAGGCAATTAGGTTGTTATATGGATAAAATAAAACTGATTTTTGTGATGATGTAGATAGAGACCTCGTTTTAGATGAATAAAATCTTAAGTGTGAGTGGCAACACTGTTTAAATTTTTAGAGAAAATATAAGTGAAGACTTTTATGATTTTCAGTTAGAGAATTTTCTAATAATGACACAGCACAGACCTTAGACAAAAGGATTGATAAATTGGACTGCATTAACTCTAAGAACTTCTGTTCAACAAAAGACACCATAAAGAATGAAAGATAAACCCAAACTAGATGAGCAAATACTACAAAGTCTGATAACAGTCATATTGACCAGAAGAAGGGGATCAGAGAATTTAAATTGTTACAGCCACTCTGGCCAGCGCTTGTCATTATCTTGTAAAGTTGAACACTTGCATATCCTACAATCCTGTGTACATTCATTAGAGAACCTTATACTTGTGCACCTGTCTGCCAGGAGACCTGTACAGGACTGTTGAGAGCAGTATCTGTTCACAGTTGAGACCTGGAGGTCATCCCACAGGTCCATGAACAGAAGAATGGATGGATGTAGCACCATCGCACAGTGGGATCTTTTACAGCAGTATAGCAAATGACCAGGGCTACAGTGTGGCTTAATCTTAAAATACCATGCTGAGTACAGACAGCAAGTCAGTAGACTACATGTCACACCATTTTTCTCACAAAGCTTATAAAGAAAACTATAGAAAATATTATTGAGGGGTACACATATGTAATCTATTTTTTAAAAGATGAAAGTAAGGGAATCATGAACACAAAGTTAAAGACAAGCTACCTCTTCTTGCTAAGGACAGGAAGAAAGGATATGGAAGAAGCAGACAAACAGAGATATGAAATTGTTCTAGTCCTTAAGTTGGATGCTGAGGTTGTATGCTTTTGTATGTCTCAATTATTATATAATCAAAAATTAAAAAGTAGGTACCTCAAAGAGGTTATATAGGTTCTCTGCCACTCCTTTTTAGAGAAATACCTGTGTGCAGAAAAGGGTTAACATGGCAGGCCTGAGCTGCCGTCCTTGGAAAGGCCTGCTTACAAGGTTGGCCCTTGGCTGGCATCTGGGAACTTGGATTTCAGGAGAGTCCACCATGCCCAGAACAGATAGGAGTGGATCACTGTGCCCAAGCTGATTATACAAGCAATATGGTTACATGATCAGCCCCCAGTTTACATGTGTGTCCCCTGGGAGTAGATCCTCGGAAGCTTGTGCCTGGTCACCTCTGGACTTTGCCCCATGTACCTTTTCCTTTGTTGTATGTATGTATGTATGTATGTATGTATGTATGTATGTATTTGAGAGAGAAAGAGAGAGAGAAACATTGATGTGAGAGCAAAATATTGTATTGGCTGCCTCCTGTCTGCCAGGAGACATAAAATATTGTATTGTATTGGCTGCCTCCTGTCTGCCAGGAGACAGGTGCCCCCTACCAGGGATTGAGCCTGCAACATGGACATGTGCATTGACCAGGAATCCAACCAGCAACACTTTGGTACATGGGATGATGCCCAACCCACTGAGCCACACTAGCTAGGGCTTCCTTTGATGTTTGTGCTTGTGTTCTTTTGCTGTAATAAATGACAGCCGTGAGCACAGCTGGGCACTGAGTCCTGTGAGTCCTCCTAGTGAATAACTGGACCTGAGGGTGGTCTTGGGGACCTCAACACAATTAGAATTGCAGTCTTTGTTGTGAAAACTTCTATCAGGTTGACAGCTAAACCATAGTGGTCGCATATCCCATTCCAGTACTTGCTATAATCCCGAGGAGGGGGTTGGACATAGTGTGGGGTTTGGTTGCTATTGAAAAAGGCAGTCCATGCACGTTATGTATCTGGAGAAGTTTACAAAGCAAGTGATAGTCTGAATTTCAAACTAGTTACCAGACTTACTAACAAGCATGTGATAGTAATTGTGTACATACTTGTAGCTTTGAGTGGGTGCAAAGCACCGGAGTAAAAATTATGTGGTCACTACCCCATTGGTTTCTTGATTAGTTTTCCAGTGGGGGAAGTGACTGACTGCCTTACAGCTGAAATTTGATGACCTGATGTATGTTGTAAAAGTCCTATCGAGTGTATAATGTTTCTTCTAGAGACGTGTTACATCAGAATTTTGAGAGCTACAAGCCTGAGGTACAAGAGCTGATTTGTGTGGCGGATCGTTTGGGATCACTGATGCAATACGAAACTCCTGGTTTCCTGCCAAACAAGAGAATACACAGAGGTATCTGAAACTACCTGCAAATGGAACTATTTCTGACAAAAGAGCAAGGATTGCTAAACCACATTGTGCTTTAAAAATAATAATTTGTTGTGCTTCCTCAAAATCTGCATGTGATCATAACAGAAATGTGTAGATTCATTCATCTGAATTCTGAAGGCTTCCTGCCTTGGCTTCACGCTGCTGCGCACTGGAGATATAAATACAGAATATGGGTCTGACGGCATTCCCGTAGATCAGGCAGCTCGTCCACAGGAGCTGTTTCCTTCCAGAAGCCTGGTGGGAAATGGGAACTGGGTGCTGCAGAAGGGAGCAGAGTCGGGAGGGGACAACTTTGGGGGTGTCTCAAGTTTCCTCTGATAGATTGAGTTTTAGTAGGGCTCTCAGGATTGTAATGTGTATCTGGTCTTGTTAAATTGCCAATACTTGTGATTCTTTCTTTATACAGTTGACCCTTGAACAACACAGGTTTGAACTGCGTGGGTCCATTTATGTGTGGATTTTTTTCAGCACATATATTAGAGAACTTAATACAGAGTTGTCCTTTACCGTGAAGCAATTGGATGGATCACACTAGGCTACTGTGAAGTAGTCATATTGCTGCTCTTCTCAGTGCATGAATCATTACTGCAGATAAATATGAACTTCCCACATCAGCTGTTTGTTTTGATATGTAGTGTTAGTAACACATGTAACATGTACAGCGCATCACGTAAGGCAGTATTGATGTAGGTGCTGGTGGACAATTTGTTTGTAAACAGATGATGTAAACTACGGTGTCGCTGAACACAGTATAGACTGTGAAGTTATTTTCTCTTCCTTATGATTTTACTAACATTTTACTAACATTTTCTTTTCTTGAGCTTACTTTATTCTAAGAATATAGTATATAATACACATTACATACAAAATATGTATTAATCGACTATGTAATCAATAAGGCTTTTGGTCAACAGTAGGCTTTTGGCAGTTCATTTGGGGGCAGTCAGAGTTATACACAGATTTCTGACTGTACAGGTGGCCAGTGCCCCTACTTCCTGCCTGCCGTTCAAGGGTCAGCTGTATAACAACTCTGGAGTTATTCCTGAGATGCGGTGGAAATCACCCCTGAATGTCCTGGCAGACTGTTTCCTCGGCATTTCTCCCTTTCAGCCATGGGCTTGGCAGCACTGGAGGTCATGCAAGCTGTGCAGCGGACGTGGACCAGCTCGAAGGTGCGCATGAATGGGAAGACGCGGCTGATGCAGTGGAGGGACATGTTTGACATCGCCGTGAAGTGGAGACGGTAACTAGCGCTGGAGTGAAAAACACTAGCTCTAATCATTGTAAAATAATGTGTCTCCTCATCACTGTTTTACTTACTAATAGTAAGCCTTATACGTTGTATTCTTCTCTCTAAGTTTGTCAGACATTGCTGGCATATTATTCTTTGAAACACACTCAGTTAATATTTATGAAATAGGAATTATCATGTCTCCAAGCACGTTGTTAAAAGAAGTACTTCAGAAAAGCAGTCTCTTAAAGAGCATGTCATTCCTTACCTGTGGCACCTTGGAATGAACTGTGTAGTCAAAGTGTGTGTCTGGATAACCAGCTGCAGTTTAGATAAGTGACGGTTTCGCTTCCACGAGCAAACACTGCTCTAGTAGGGAACCTGCACTGACTTCGGACGTGGCCCCGTCGGAACATCTAGGTGGAATTTGCAGGTTTGTGTGTTATATTTGTAGACATAATGGTCTGAGCAATCGCTTTCTCCCACTCTTGCAAAGATACCTGTCTGTTTTATTTTTAATGCTTTTGAAGCTTTCTAGGTTGTGCAAGGTCTTCATCTCTAACAAGCTCTGTTTTATAGGATTGCTGACCCAGACCAGCCAGTGCTATGGTTAGATCAGATGCCAGCACGAAGTCTTAGCAGAGGTTTTAACAACCACATCAATTTAATCAGGTACGGCCCCTCGGTGCATCTTTTTTGTTTTCATAGAAGTTTAATCTAAATCGATGGACCTGGGGACCATGAGGGAGCCATTGCTCCTTTTCTAGTGACCTTGACACGGGCCGCACAGACTCGCCCTGCCCCTGCAGAATCCTGCCTGCATCCTCAGCTGGTCCAGCCGCAGAAGGAAACGCCGCACCGGCCCTGCCCCTTCTCCAGGCTCTTTGATGTAGAACCTGAGGAAGGGTCGACTGCCAGATTTTTGTCTAGAATGTCAATCTTCAATGGGTCCTAAAACATGATAGAAAGTAATTAGAGAAAGTTACATTTATCATAATATCCTGATAATATTGCGTGGCTGTTGTGGGGGAAAGGCTGCAGCACACAAAGGGTTTGGATCAATGACATCTGGTCGCTGAGCTGCCGGCCTGGGAGGGTGAGCCGTGTTAACTGGATGGCTTTGCTTTGCCCAGGGGCTCTGCAAGTCAGGGTCGTGGGTGAAGTGCTCATCACTTTACCTCTCCCTTCGTGTGCTCAGCCACCCTCTAAATAAATGATGAGCAAATAGTAAAGAATATCAGCATCAAGGGGACCCAGTGAATTTAATAATAGATAAAATGTACAAGTATGGTAGTTGTGTCACATCTAAAATGCTTCTAGTTCCAAAAATTTGAATCAAGAAAAAAATGCTCTAGACACTTTTGACATTTAAGTTTAATGGAAATGTCATTTATACAAAGATTTTTTTTTAATTTCTAGAAAATAATTTTTCCCTTGTGACTTGTGTATTTCTGTTTCTTATGAAATAATTTGTGATGTTTATAATTAAACTCAGCTGACTTCATTTGAAGCCACTGTCAGTGTGCTGTGCTGCCTGGTGGGAAAGCAGTGTAAGTCCTGACTGCAGGAAGCTCGTGGCTCAGTGCAGAAGGCAGACCAGTGCACAGCTGTGTAATGCGTTAAGTTATAGGGGCCATGTGCACAGCATGCCGGGGGCACGGAAAATGGCACTCAGACTAGGCTTCAGTGAGGCCTGACTGTGGAAAGATGGAAAGCGCAGAGAGGTGGGTGAGGCATGGACCCACAGGGAGTCGGGCACGGTCAGGAATGGGTGACTGCTTAATTGTGACTGGTGACTAGTTTGTAATTAAGTGAGTATCAGCAATCAACACAGGCAGATAGACCAAAATATGAATCACTTTTTCCCTAGAGTATAAACAACTTTCTCGGGACCGCAGGCCGATGCTCTAACCGCTGAGCCAAACCGGCCAGGGCAACAACTTTCTATTTCATGGGAAGGCATTTCCCCCTGAAACTGATGGCGAGCTGTTCGGAGACTGGGAGCAGAGAAGTGACGTGAGCACATCTGCACAATCAGATGATCACTTTGGCTGCAGGAGGCAGGATGGGTTAGAGGGCAGTGACCTCGGAGACAGGGAAGTGGTTAGAACGTGGCGGAATAACTCAGATGCACAAGTACCACGTCTGGAAAGCTGTGTAGAAGTGAATTACAGGGAAGAGAGGATATTGAGAAGGTAGAATGAGGAGCACTGGCGGGGGGTTCGACACGAGGAGAGTGTGGAACCACAGGAGATGTCCTGTCTGTGGCTCAGGTTTATGGGTGTCCCAGTAGCCAGGTAGCAACAGGACAAAAAGTGGGTGGACATGTTTCAGAGGGTAGAGCTGGGAAAGTGTGGATGAGTGGATTCCTCTTTGATTATTATGAACTTGAGGTTTGGGGGGGTCTGGGGAGCAATTGGATGTGTACATGTTGTACACATATAGACTGTGTACATTTTCTTGTACATGTGTACGTTAGTTGGATGTGTGCATCATCATGTTGGTTAGACATGAAGTTCTGGAAGAGAGTTTTAGAATTGGGGGGTGGGCATAGAAATGTGAGGAAAATCATATTTAGGGTGGGTAGCAGAGCTGGAGACTGCTAGTCTGCCAGACAGCAGGCAGGGTGTCAGCAGAGACGTCAGCAGGAGAACCAAGGGAGAGAAGGTCTGTTGCCGAAAAAGTGAAGGAATCCCTGGAGGAAAGGGGCATAAAAGTCTGAGCCTCACTGAGTACTTCAGGATTTCCTCCCCATTTTGGCATCTCCGGGGCTGAATTTGGTACCTTTCCCACCCGAATAAGCTCCAAAAACTGATAAGCAGTCTTGCTAAGACAATTCTTTGCTTCTCCATTCATTGGTTGTGCAGAAGCAAATTTCCCAGTCTTTTGTGCTGCGTTTTTCTCATAGCTCTCTTATTGTTCTCTTGGATTAACTTGGAAATTAGATGTTGTTTGGAATATATTCCTTTGTAAAAATTCTTTATTGTTTTTCTTACAGGGGTCAGGTGATTAACATGAGATACCTGGAATATTTTGAGAAAATTCTTCATTTTATTAAAGATAGAATTCTTATTTATCATGGGTAATCCTTTAAATTTTTTTCTTAATAATGGATTGATTTCGTATATTTGTTATATTTATGAAACTTGAAAGCTAAGCCTATTGACAGAATAAACAAAGTGTATCAGATGTTTACATCATGCTTGCAATCATAAAGCCTTTCATAATGATTTATCAACCTTCTTTTTATTTTTATTTATTTTATCCTCACTCGAGGACATTTTTTCATTTTTTTTGTTCAGATAGAGCAGGAGGGAGAGAGAGGAAGAGAGAGAGAGATAGAAACATCGACGTGAAAGGGACACATCGAGTGGCTGCCTCCCGCACGACCAACCAGGGCCGGGGACAAACTGCAACCGAAGTACATGCCCTTAGTGGGAACCGAACCCTGGTCTCTCTGGACCGCAGGCCGACGCTCTAACCGCTGAGCCAAACCAGCCAGGGCTCAACCTTCTTTTTAATAGCAACAAACTCTGTGGACCTCAACAGATGTGCTTAATCTTACATGCACTATTTTAACTTTTCTAGTCTCTTCTAAAAGGCAGTGTTTCTTTGACATTCTTTTATTTATTTATTTATTTTAATTTGTTTTTATTGATCTTTTAGAGCAAAAGGAAGGGAGAGAAAGATAGAAAAATCTCTGTGAAAGAGAAACATCGATCCGCTGGTTTTCTCACGCCCCCTACAGGGTATCGAGCCCCAAACCCCGGCATGTACCCCGACTGGGAATCAAACCAGGACCTCTCTGTCCATGTGGCCACTCAGCCCACTGAGCCACACCAACTGGGCCAAGCTTTGACATTCTTTATAAAGGATTTCTGCCTTAATATTCATTGTTCCTCACCTGAAAGGCAGGGAGATATAAAGCTATAGACATAACAGTGAACACTGGAGAAAACAAGAATTCTGAGTGGGTAGTTATCATCAAGTAAATATAAAATTGATATAAAAATCTAGCAGAGAGCCCTGGTCAATTTTTCTCAGTGGTTAGAACAATGGCCTGTGCACTGAAGGGTCATGGGTTTGATTCTGGTCAAGGGCACGTACCTGGATTGCAGGTCCAATCCCCTGCCCTGGTCAGGGTTATGCGGGAGGCAACCAATCAGTGTGTCTCTTTCATATCTATGTTTGTCTCCCTCCCACTGTATCTTTAAAAAAAGTTAAAAAACAAACCTAGCAGAGTACTTCTGTGTGAGCAACTCTAGAAAGAAAAAACATTTACTTCTAATTTCAGAGTTGGAATAGGAGAATCGGGTTTTGTGACCGAAGAGAATGTCCATCCCTTCTGCTTTTCCCCATGTCCCCCTCTAGACAGGCTGCTTCCTGTTCCCTAATTCTCATCTGTAGCCCAGACTCATTAGGATTAAACCATCCCATTATTTAGAAACTTTAGTTGTGACCCAGTTAAAAGTCACAGCATAATTATTACATTTCTGTATTAATTTTAGCTCCTCTCTCTCTCCTTTTAAGAGCTAATAATCCTAAAGGCTTGTTGGAAGTTAGAGAAGCTCTGGAAAAGGTACACAAAGTAGAAGACCTTCTTCCAATCATGAAGGTAAGTTTATCCTCAAAATTGCAGGACGTTTTTAGGAAAAAAGTAAAACTATAGCACTCTTTCAGTTGTAAAATGCCATGTTTATTAATATTATGCTATAAGCGTTTTAAAGTTTACAGAGCGTACTACCTGAGAACACTAACGTAAACACACTGAATACTCAGCAAAATAAAGCACAGGCATCTGACTCAAACATAAAAGAAAATCTTGAGGACGCAGTTGATATAGGAAACATAAGGAAACTTTAAAATACGTGCAGTTGAATTCTGCTCTGGTCCCTGCGGAGTGACCGGTGCCCGACCACCCTTCCACACCGTGACAGTTACAGAGCTGGACGAAATCTGAGGCAGCTGTTTTCAGGTATTAGATAGTTACAAGACTGATCCTTGAGAGAAGGGAAATGTGTGAGGTGAGCCCCGTGTTTACCCCAGCTTTCTGCCTGGGGTTATTTCCTAGACCACTGCACAGGAATGTATTGCTCACGCAGAGTCTCGCTGAGCTAAGGAGTCAGACGTTGGAGTTGGGGTCTACCAAAGTGGCTGAAATTTGCAGGGCAGAGTACAGAAGAGGAGGGAGCTGTGCAGAGTGGGGAGTGCCCAGAGGTCAGTATAGGAGTTGAGACTCTGCACAGGCAGGGAGACTCTGAGAGGTTCTGCAGGGAGTGGCTGCTGTGGGGATGAGAGCTGAGCAGAGATATCAAAGCTTTAACAGTACTGAGGGACGTGGGAGTTCTGGCCTTGCTGATGGAGGAATCCTTTGAGCATGTGAGCACCTTGGGCATTTAGTTAAGACCACAGAAAGGACATAATGTAGCCCTGGCTGGTTTGTCTCAGTGGTTAGAGTGTCAGCCTGCAGACCAGAGAGGCCCAGGTTTGGTTCGCGCTAAGGGCATGTACCTCGGTTGCAGTTTGTCCCTGGCTCTGGTTGGGATCGTGTGGGTGGCAACCAGTTGATGTGTCTCTCTCGCATCAATGTTTCTCTGTCTCTCTTCCACCCCCCTACCCCCCGCTCTATCTGAAGATAAATGCAAAAATGTCCTAGAGTGAGGATAAAAATAAATAAATAAATAAGTAAACAAACAAACAAACAAATAAATGAAGGACACACTGTAGGTATAAGACCACAGAGTATGGTCTGTATCCTAGGACAAAGGGCAATTTCTAAACAGATCACCTTAACAAAGAATAAAACCAAGCCTAAATGAATGAAAGGATCTGTTAGTGATTTGCCTGCTAAAACAAAATTCAGTACCCTTTAAAACAGTGGTTCTCAACCTTCCTAATGCCGTGACCCTTTAATACAGTTCTTCATGTTGTATGTGGGCATATCTGCATGTGGGCAGACCCACCTGGAGACGGATAGAGGAGCAGTGTCTCAGTTTCTAAGACCATCGGAAATATGTGTTTTTTGATGGTCTTAGGCGACCCCTGTGAAAGGATCATTTAACCCCCAAAGGGGTTGCCACCCACAGGTTGAGAACTGCTGCTTTAAAGGAAGCCACCGTAGTTCAGACTCTTTGATTATTAAATAAATGAAGAAACAGAACAATGTGACCCATAACCAAGAAAAACAAACCAGTTAATAAGAACAGACCCTGAGATGATCCAGAAGTTAGAATTAGCTCCTTTTAGGCCTTATCTGCTCATAAATGTATTCAAGGACTTAAAAGAAAACATAAACACAATGATAGAAAATCTCAGCAGAGAAATGAAGCTATGAAAAGACCAAAAGAGCCCTGGCCGGTTTGGCTCAGCGGTTAGAGCGTCAGCCTGTGGTCCTGAGAGACCCGGGTTCGGTTCCTGCTAAGGGCGCGTACCTCGGTTGCAGTTTGTCCCCGGCCCTGGTCAGTTGTGCGGGTGGCAGCCACTCGATGTGTTCCTTGCACATCAATGTTTCTCTTTCTCTCTCTGTTCCTCTCTCTCCCTCCCACTCTACCTGAACAAAAAATGGAAAAATGTCCTCGGGTGAGGATAAAAAAAGAAAAGACCAAAAGAAAATTCTAGGACTCAAAAGTCAGTGTTCTCAGATTCAGGTTGTTAATCAACTCACAAGACACATTGTCTTTAATATCACACTAGGTGCCCTGGCCGGTTTGGCTCAGCGGTTGGAGCGTCGGCCTGCGGTCTGGAGAGACCCGGGTTCGGTTCCCGCTAAGGGCACGTACCTTGGTTGCAGTTTGTCCCCGGCCCTGGTTGGTCGTGCGGGTGGCAGCCACTCGATGTGTCCCTTCACATCGATGTTTCTCTCCTCTCTCTCTGTTCCTCTCTCTCCCTCCCACTCTACCTGAGCAAAGAATGGAGGAATGTCCTCGGGTGAGGATAAAAAAATATATATATATATATATCACACTAGGTTTACTTAGCAGGGTGCAGGACAGAGAACAAGCCTGTGCAGCATCCTCACGCTCATCGTGAGGCCCGGGAAGGACCCAGATGTGACTCTAGCACGCTGCCCCCTTTATCTGCATGGTTATGTGGAGTCAGAGTCGGTGCCCACACTCACAGAGAAGCCACTGCTTTGATGTGTGTATGGCTCTGTGTTTGTGTGCCAGTTCCCAGCTGTCCTGGCCCAGCGCTGGCTTCCAGATCAGGGGTTTCCCAGGGGTCTGTCATCGTTTCTCGGGGGAGGCCAGCAAGGTAATACAACTCACTAATAATAAAAGAGAAAGGCTATTCTACAGACAGCAACAGGGTGAACCTCGGAAACGCTATGTTGAGCAAAGGAAGAGTGTGATTCCATTTGTAAGAAGTTTCGACTGTGCTTTGGGGATAGGTGTCAGAACAATCACTGTTGCTCACGAGGAGTGCGGCTTACCTGGAAGGGTCGGGGCAGAGCTTTCCAGATGATGGGGATACACTTCATCTTGATTGCCTTGGTGGTTACAACGGTGGATCCATCTGTCAAAGAAAATCAAGTTATACATGAGTAGTTCATTGTATACAAATTTTACTTCAATAAAAGTACGTAACTAAATTTCCTCTGAGATTTGAGCCAGTGTCATAGGACAGACAGTATCAATAGAAGAGCAATAGTCAGAATTCTTGTAAATTAAAAAACAAAACTCAGATAGCTATATTAGCAGATTGAAGACTCTGAATATCAAGTATATTAGCTAGGAGATCAAACCAATGAATTCTCCCAGAATGTAGTTAGAATAAAAGGACAAAGAAATAGCCTCAATTGGTTGTACACTGAAGGGTTGCCAGTTCGATTCCCAGCCAGGGCACATGCCTGGGTTTCAGGTTTGGTCCCCAGTCGGGGCATGTGCAGAAGGCAACCAATCAATGTTTCTCTCCCTGTCCCTTCCTCTTGCTAAGCATGTCCTAAGATAAGGATTAAAAATAAAAAAGGACAAAGAAATATAAAATATGAGATAATATGAAGAATGGCCCTATTGATAGAAGTTCAGGAAGGAGAAGAAAGATAAAGGAGAGGAGTTAATTGATAAAGACAATAGAAGGAAAGGTGGCAGAGAGATGGGAAGATTAGTGTGGGCCTAAGGGATGTTCAAATACTGATACCTAGACATATTCTGAGAAAATTCCTTAAAGATGGAACTGCACATAGAAGAACCATGCAATCTGGGTATACATCCAAAAGAACTGAAAGCAGGAACTTGAGCAGATACTTGTATACCCATGTTCACAGCATTATTCACAATAGCCAAGAGGTGGAAGCAACCCAAGTGTCCATTGATGGGGGAATAGATAAACAAAATGCGGTCCATTCATAAAATGGTATATTATTATTCAGCCTTAAAAAGTTAGGGAATTCTTCCCTGGACAGCATAGCTCGTTTGGTTAGGCATTGTCCCATGTTCCGAGGGGTTGCTCGTTTGATCCCCGGTGAGGGCCTTGCAGGAGGCAGCTGATGCTGTTTCCCTCTCAGGTTTCAGGTGCACAATTCTTCAACACATCATCCGTACACTGTACTTACTGTGTGTTCACCACCCCAAGTCAAGTCTCTATCCATCACCATTTATCCCCCTTCTACCCTCCTCCACTTCCCCCACCCCCTCCACTTCCCCCCGGCAATCACCCCGTTATCTGTGTCAGTGAGATTTTCATTTTTAAAAATTTTTTGCTCAATCCCTTCACCCCTCCAGCCCCCCACCCCCCACCAGCTGTCAGCCTGCCCTGTATCTCTGAAGAAAGACTGAGGATGTTAGATTGGTTTTGAAAGTCCAGCTACATTCTGCTACAGGAGACACAACAAAATGACGTGTAGAAAGTGGAAGGAAAGGCTACCAGGCAAATGCTGATGAAAGGAAGTGGGTGAGGCCGTGTCAGCGTCAGAACCTTTAGAATTCAGGAAAGGGAACTTCAGGAGACAGAAGTGATATTGTTTAAAAATATAATTCAGTAAAAATTTATAATTTTATGAACTTTTTCTCCACCTAGGAATATAACTACCCAAAACTGTGTGAACAGCAGGTAGATTGGATTTTTTCAATTAATGGTTTGAACTTTGATGTAAAACTTGAATAAACATTCTCTGTGCAGCTATGGTAGATAAGATTGATTTACATCAAATGAAATGTAAGAAATGTATATGAATTACCAAAGCTCATCCATTTCTAAGGAATAACCAGGAAGCATCATCTCGTACAAGCCGTGAGCTAAGGCTGTGCGGGCCCACGTCTGCCTCGCCAGGCTTGGATGAGCCTGTTTCCCAGACTGGGTCCCAGGCTCCCGTCTGCTGAGGAGCAGGATTCTGCAGACCTAGCTCGGGGGTTATTGCGAGGGTCTGATGAAGCGAGGAGTTGTTCTCAGTCTTCTCAAACCCAAGTATTAACTCATTAAACATATATTCAGATGCCCCCTTTGCTGCACTAAGATGCAGTTCACAGAATATGTCCCACATACTGGAAAAACTCTTTAAAAAGTCCACGTAGTGCCGTAAAGGAGTTCTGTAAGGTGAGCAGTTTATAATGGAATGGTGTGCATCTCAGTGTGTCAGCATTCGGGCCTGTGTTCACGAGACGCCGTGGAGAGGTAGCCAGGGGCCTGCGCCACAGTGTAAAATCGTGGTGACTGTCAGCTGCAGGTGCAGCCCCAGACCTGTTTGTTATTTGGTGACACAGGTGTCATGAGCTATGATGTCATTGGTGACATGGTTTTCTGAAATGGTAAACCACACTCACTGAAGTTCCAAACAATGTATAACAAACTCTTTCCTCAATTTACATGCTGTTTGCATTCCTGGAGAATCCAGTGTGCATGAAACTAACAAACATTCAGTGTCTAAGCGTAACGGGAGTTCCAGGCCTCCGTATCATTAAGTGATGAACAGGTTCTCCATCTCCTTGAAAGTCCAGTGGGGCATCGAGTAGCCTTGGCTCCCAACCACCTAATCGCAGTAGCCTCCAAACTCTCCCATAAATTCCCCAAATGCCCCCCAGAGGGCAGAGCAGCTTCACTGAGGGCTGCTGGGACACCCACACAGAAGGAGCCCTGGGAGTGTCTCGGGCCTTCGTCTTTAGCTGTCCTGTGGGTATTTTAGGCATTTAAATGTACTATATTGGGCAGAGTACAGGATCAGCTTAGGGAGGTTTTCATGTCACACGGATGTGTATTTAAAAAGCAAAGCGTGACGGACTACAGTTGCTCAGTGCCGCCGAGAGGCCGCGCACCTGCAATGCCTTCGTGCTCCCCAGCCCGAGGGCCATGAGCTCGGAGTAGCTCCTGTAGCGTTCTTGTCTGGTCTGCAGAGTTGCAGTGTGGGTCTGAAATTCCCCAGTGGGCATATAATTCTGACCACGTTTCAGAAAAACCAGACTCTGTTTTGCAGGAGCACAGCATGAACACAAGGTGTTTTTGTTTTGTTTTGAGTTATAGGGTGTTGGGTGCAACTCCTCTGTTGAGAGTCAGTTGTCGCCCACACGATGAGCCTGAGAAGGAGCCCAAAGGAGCTTCGGGAGTGAGCGGGGCCCTGGCCTGTGGGGCTGAGGCTCTCTGTGGCCTCCGTTAGGGGCCATGAGGGGTGTAAGTTGGGCTTAGAGCTTGTGAGGGGCCTGGGGACAGGCAGAGGCGTCCTCTGTCACTAATGGCCGGGTCTCTTGCATCAGGGACTCTGTGACCCTTCTTCCTGAAAACATGGGCATCGGAGCCAGCTCCGCACAGCCGCAGCCGGGGGTGTACAGTGAATTTTACACTAGTGACGTGAATTCTCTTTTTCCTGAAAGCAGTTTAATACTAAAACGAAGGATGGGTTCACTGTGAATACCAAAGTCCCCAGCCTCAAAGACCAAGGGAAGGAATACGATGGATTCACAATCACAATCACAGGAGACAAGTACGGAGGCGCCCGGCGTGTGGGTGGGCGGGCAGCTGGTGGTGGGAAGCGTGCCTGTGATTCCCGCGGGAGGTCCCACCGGCAGGGCTGTGCTTTGTCCTGGACTGAGAACAAGGCCCCGCGTGTAGCTGCAGCCTGTGTGTGTGTGTGTGTGTGTGTGTGTGTGTGTGTGTGACATCACGTTCCCAGTGTCACTCCAGCAGAAGACCTTGTCTGACTGCTGAATCTAACAGCTTTCTGAAATTAAGAATAACGTCTAATGTGGTTTGTGGACTATATTCTTCTGAGTTCTTGAAGTTCATTGTAGGGAGGCTTTCATAATAAGATGAGAGATGAGAAATAGCCAGACTGAAGGCCACTAGTTTTTTAAAATATAGGTTTTAGTGTATTACAAGAGTAGTGTGGTCTTAGTGTACAGAATTTAGAATACACAGATAAGCAAAGATTAAAAACTAAAAACCCTCACCCTGGCCAGTTTGGCTCAGCGGTTGGAGCATTGACCTGTGGACCAAAAGGTTACGGGTTGGCTTCCGGGCAAGGGCACGTACCTTGGTTGCAGTTCAGTCCCGGCCCTGGTCAGGTTGTGCGGGAGGCAACCAGTCGATATGTCTCTCTCACATCAGTGTTTTCTCTTCCTCCCTCCCTCCCTCCCTCCCACTGTATCTGAAGATAAATGGGAAAATATCCTCGGGTGAGGATTTAAAAATAAGTAATAAAAATCCTTAAGTTATTTTCTTTAGAAACTGAGATTGTATTTACATATTGTTTTGTAGTGTGTTCTTTTACTGCCCTTACCATTACTTTATAACATTTTTCCATATCCTATTCTTATCAGCATTTTTAATAACTGCATAGTATTCCATTTTATGGATGTTGTAGTCTCTCCTACTAAATTTTTTGTTATTGACCATTTAGAGTGTTTCCCATGTTTCACTTTATAAGTAGCACCAGAGGGAACATTTTTATTAACTGTATCTAAAATCCAAACTTCATCTGGGAGCCTTCATATCCCTTGGATTTTAAGTGGACTTACCTCGAACCTCCGAACACTCTCACCCCACCCTGCCCCCACTCCTCAGCCTGCGAAGCCCTGGTTCCTGCCAGCTCAGCACTGGGGTTGTGTCCTGTCTGCTGGCCCCTCGGCCTCCTGGGCTCTGGCTAATTCTGCTGCCTGCTTGCTCCCCGAGGTCACCTCGCACCTCCTGTCTCTGAGCCTCTGTCACTCCCATCTTGATCCTCAAGACCCAAGTTCAAGCCTCTTCTTCCAAGAAGCATTTCCTGTTTTCTTCCTTGTCTTCGAAATTAGATCTGATCTCCCTCTTTTGAACCTGATGAACTAGGCTATGGCCTGAACACAGGCTCCTAATCTGTGTGCCTTGTGTCCGCCCCCTTCCTCAGAAGGCCACAGCTGTGCCGCGTTTGTTCTAGGACCTGAGGATTGTTACTGAGCAGTGGATACTGTTGCATCAAATTCACATCCTCCCCAGAGCCTTGCACAGAGCTAGCACTCAGCAGAGGCTTTAAACGGAAAAGAAAGCAGTGGTGTCCCAGAACATTTGTACTCCGTTCTGGCCCCTGAGCCCCAGCCAGACAGGGGGCTGTTTGATTAAATGTTTTCTGGACGGGTCAGTGCACTCCTTACTATGTGTGCTTGTTTCCTCCTGTATTAGCTTAGGCTCATATAATAAGTACATGTGGTTAGACTCAGGCAACTACCGTATTTTGTGAAAAAGTTGCATCCTTGTGACCCGAGCCTCATCTGTGTCTGGTTAGAAAGGTGGGGTCCACCTCCGCAGGGCCTGCGCCACATCAGCATGCCATTTGCTTCCTTTTTTACTTTGTGTTTAGCTCTGTGACTATGTGACACATGCCTTTGACTCGTGTTCTTGTATTTTCAGGATTGGCAATATACTGTTTTCTGTGGAAACTCAAACCACAGAAGAAAGAACACAGTTGTATCACGCTGAAATAGATGCACTTTATAAAGATCTAACAGCAAAAGGAAAAGTTCTCATTCTTTCCTCAGAGTTTGGGGTAGGTGTTTGTTTCCCGTTAATCCACGCTTCCTGTGATCTTTGTAAACATTTTAAAGCCTCTACGCTTTCATTGGGATTATACCTTTGATGCTTGAAATCAGCTTTAATGGACCTATAAATATTTTAAAACAGTCTTATCAAAACAGTTCCCATATTTAGTAACTACAGTAGTTAGGGAGGGGGAAATGAATTTATTATTTACTATAGTACCACAAATTTGGGCTTTGTCACGATTTAAATGAAAAATTTGCTCCATAATGAAAATGACCTTTCCTAGTCTGTGATCTCGTCCCTCCAAGTGCTTTGTTTGACTTTAATCCTAATATATGTATTGACATTGCAAATAATGTTAAAGGAGACTGAGATTTTGATGTGCATCAGAGAAGTTTGCAGTTTTAAAAACAGCTGGGAAGACACCACTGTAAACTGGACTTGTGCACCCTGTCATTAGCAAGCTGCACAGAAGGGTGTCCGGCACCCAGGAGTGTGAGAGCAGGCTGTCCTGGGAGAGGAATGTCCTGGTGTAACGGTGCCCGTGTCCTGTCCCCTGATAAAAACCCAGCTGGCCATCTAGTGTTGAAGTTCACGAGCATGTGTCTTTTTTTCTAGGAGGCTGATGCTGTTTGCAACTTAATCTTATCCTTAGTTTATTACTTTTATAATTTAATGCCACTCTCTCGAGGATCCAGGTGAGTGCGATCCTGTAATATAAAAGCTTTTACATTGGAAAACATGTTCTTTTTTGCTTACGCTTCCTGTTGTGGGTGTAGGTGCGAAAGTACCCCAAGCAAAGACAAGGAGCCTCCTTTTGTTTTTTTTTTTCAGCATCCACCCCAAAATTATGTCCTTAATCTACCCCATCATCAAAAGAACTGTGAGAGAGAGTTCTAGCACTGTGTGCTGGCGTTCCGGGCTCGGCTCCTTCATTCCGCGAAGGCGTGGTGAAGGCCTACTGTGTGTAGGCCTCGGGCTCCCTACACCTTAGTTTGATATTCGCCCAGACTGTTACCCCACCCTCTTCGCCCCTCTCCCCCAATTTTTGGCCATTAATTGACCTTTAGCCCTAATATCTGATACTTTTGAGTCACCAACCATCCCATAGTGCTTTTATGTTGTGGATAAATTCCGGCTCATAAATCCACCAGGAGTCTCGCAGGTGTCATGAACACAGGGAGGTGTCTCCTGAGTTCTGTTTGTATTCTATCGCCCAGTGCTGTGTGCGGTAAATCACATCATTGGCATCTGCTAGTGCTAGCACGTGCTTGGGTTTAAGATGTTTTGGTTAACATAATATACTTGTACATCTTTGTTAATACTTTAAAAGTAAAACTCCTAAATGTGGTAGTAACTTTTTTTTCTTAAAGTTTCTTTCCATTTTTTTTTTTTTTTTTTACCTTCACCCGAGGACATTTTTGCATTCATCTTCAGATAGAGCAGGAGGGAGAGAGGGAGGAAGAGAGAGAAACATCAATGAGAGAGACACATCGAGTGGGTGCCACCCATGTGACCCCACCTGGGGCCGGGGACAAACTGCAACCGGTACATGCCCTTAGTGGGAACCAAACCCGGGTCTCTCCGGACCACAGGCCGACGCTCTAACCGCTGAGCCAAACTGGCCAGGGCTGTGGTAGTAATTTTTTAAATGAAATTTATTATTATTTTTGTTACAGATGTCCCTCCTTTTCCCCTTTAACACCCCCCCAACGTCCCACCTTCACCATTGTGTTGTCTGTGGGTAGTAAATTTTATTATAATGTTAAAAAGGCATCAAAACAAAACTGGAACATCGGTATTCAGTATCAGCCAGTTATTAGCCGTGCCCGAGTGTGAGGCCGTAGACCTGTGCGTGCTGCCTTCACCCGGCCCTGCGCCCTGTGCAGACCCCAGCAGCTCTCCACTGGCCTCGACGCAGCTCTGGGCCCCTGTGTGACGTGTGAAGGAAGCCGAGCTCCAGTCACCCTCCACTCTGCCCCTCCGTCCCTGCTTCTGCCCTAAGTCCTGTTGCTTCTGCCTCCTACCCGCGGTTCTCGCTCCTGGGTGCTCACAGCTCCTGCCCTGGTTCAGACCCTTCTCATCTCCTGACACAGCCTTTCTAACTGGGCCCTCTGCTCCCAGGCTTTTCTCCTCTGCTCTGCGCCCCCCAGTTCTGTGTGCCTATTGACTCAAGCACAAACACGCTGCATTATGCCCGGTGCCCGTCCCTGTCCTGCCCTGGTCTACCTGGCCTCGTCGCCTCCCTCCTTGTCTGCCCTGTGGAACTTCTGAGGGTCCTCCCTGCACCACCCCTCCCTGCCTTTCTGCCATCCTCAGTCCCCACACGTGCTTCTCGCTCTGTGCTGTGCCAGCCTGTGTCCCGCCTTCTCCGCCTCCTTCGCCCTGTCCTGGGCCCTGGAAGAGGCAGCGCACCTGCCCGTGGCCCCTATGACAGGCGAGCCCCAGGAACAACTCATGTCCTGTTCTTTTGGGGTCCCCTCACTGCATGTGGGTGCAGTCTGTGTCCTTCCTGTCAGAGGCAGAGCCTCGTCTTCCTTACCTTCGTCCTGGGGTGCCAGGCCCAGGGGCACACGCTCGGGGTGTAACAAAGATGTCAGAATCAAGAGTGAGTCTGTTATGTGCCAGGAAGGAAACTGATAACAACATACCAGTTTTCAAACCAGTCTGGCAGCACATTCCGGAGAATGTGTTCCGCTTGTCGTCTTTGAAGGCCGAAGTTTTTAATGCTTAAATGATAGGTTTAATCTGTTCATATTTACAAAGTACTTTGTAAATATGATATGCATTTTAAAGCCAAGCCACGTGGAGTTGTTAAAAATATAAACAGACATATTTTCTACGTCATTATGTCACAAGAATTGAAAAAATAAGTGGAAAGAAATGTCCTAATTAAAAGAAGCACTTTTTTCCCTCAGAAAAAGAATATTCTTGGTCACATTGACTCTTAAATTATTCAAGCAGTAGACACTTTTCTAGTAGTAAATTAGTAAATACTTTTTAAATCAAGTGAAACTGTAATCTTATCTTTAATGTCTGAAGAAGAGTAAGAGAAAGTCTCCTAGCGTGTGGCGGGAGCTCCGCGGTGCGCTCTGTGACCGCCGTTGTTCTTTGTCGGAACAGTGTGATCGCGTACTCGGTGATCGTGGGTGCGCTCATGGCAAGTGGCAAAGAAGTGGCCGGGAGAATCCCCAAGGGGAAGGTACGTGGACGGGAAGGGGCTGGTTGGCGGTTGGACGGCCCGTCTGGGGGGGTTGTGTTCAGATCCACGAGGTGAGGAGACATCAGAGTGAGCCTTTCTCCTCCATATTGAACCACCTTCCAAATGTCTTTCTTTCCCAGTTGGTTGACTTTGAAGCCATGACAGCCCCTGGTTCAGAGGCCTTCAGCAAAGTAGCCAAAAGCTGGATGAACTTGAAAAGGTCAGTCCTTGATGGGGGTCAGCGGGAGGATATTGCAACTAAGGAGAGAGGACAGGGACCACCTGTTACTTTGGGGGCTATTTGAGAAACTGGAATTGTCCTCACTTTTCTGAGTTACTATTATACAGTGAACTTAAAGGTTAAAACGTTCTGCTGTCGTGTAAGACCCCCTTAAAGGGCGAGTATATGGATAAAAATGAGTAACGACTAAAAAAGAAAGAAACGAGTTTGTGAAAGAAAGTTACAAATGCCTTGTTTATATAATCAGACATTCAGCTCTCTTGGTTAATTTACCCTTTACCCCAGACTCTTCGTTCGGGGTTCAGCAGTGAATTTGAAAACGGAGCTGAGCCCATTTCAGACTTACTCCCAGGGGTAGCACTTTGCCTGTTCAGCTGCATTTACTGCGCCCTAGATTCCGAACAGGTGGACTTCGTTCTCATTCAGTGACGAAGGTGTGTGAGTCGGTCAACACTGACCAGAAAGTACCCCTGCCGCCTGCTGTGACCAGCCTACTCCCATCTTCCTGGCTCTTGTTTCCGGAAGGGCCGCCGGAGTGTGTCAGCGTGGCTGCGACTGGGCTCGCAGGTGCTGCGACAGTTAACAAGGAACAAGCCAGTTTCACTGTTGGACCATGTTTCTTCCTGCTCCTCTGCTTGTTTTCTCCATTAGAACCACCACCAGTTTTGCCTTTCACATCTATGAAACAGCAGCACTCTGAACACTGCTGGGTGGTTTGTACTCAAAACGGAGAAGTTCTTGTCTTAGTACACCTGTTCGAGCGGGAGCATTCTGTCAGCTTTGTCATACACGTTTCTGACAGTCACACCTTGCTCCCGAATATTCTCGTCTCGGGTTTACTGTTTCACACAAGCTTCAGTAAAATGGCCACGAGGTCAGAGCGCTCTTCTGCTGTTTCTTACATGATTTTACAGTGTTAATCTTTCGACAGTTTTTTTTTTTTTCAAATATGTTTTTATTGATATTTTTAGAAAGAAGGAAAGAGAGTTAGAAACATCCGTGTGAGAGAGATACATCAATTGGCTGCCTCCTGCACGCTCCCTACTGGGGATAGAGCCCACAACCCAGGCATGTGCCCCGACCAGGAATCAAACCAGGACCTCTCAGTCTGTGGGTTGACACTCAATCCACTGAGCCACACTGGCCAGGCAACAGTTTTTTTCTTTAAAGCTTTATTGAAAGTATTACTGATGTCCCTCCTTTTTACCCCATTGGCATCCTCCTCCCTGCTCCCTCAGCAGTTCTGTAAGGACAGAACACCACTCCTTGCCTCGCGCAGCTTCCATTATACGACACTTGACGTACGTTATCTCATTCCACGCTCACGGGAGCTCTGCACCCTTGCTGTCCCTGTTGCTACAGGTGAGGGGAGTGAGCTTAGAGAGGCTAAAGCCAGGAGGACGGAGGCTACACCTGAAACCTGTGTCTTCTGATTCCAGGTCCAGCGTGCACACCAGTGGGTCACGTGTACATAAGTCACGTGTAGGTCAGAGTTTCATTTGTTTCCCCAAAGACTCTGGTTGAACCTCTAAGCAGCTGATAACATGAGCCTTCTGACACCTCAGTCCATTGCTTCAATTTAAAAGAATCTGTCTGCTCACTGCTCCTCGTTTTTGTAATAATTGTCTGACTTTATACATACAGGGTTATATTTAATAGGTATAAATATAACATAAGCTTTGCCTTTTTTGTAAAATTGTGTTACTGTTCACACCCCTTCTTTGTGTTTTTCTTTTTCAGTATTTCACCTTCTTATAAGACTCTTCCATCAGTATCGGAGACGTTCCCAACGTTGAGGGCAATGATCGAGGTGCTAGACACGGACTCCTCTCCACGCTGTCTTAAGAAACTCTAGTCGTGCTGTGGTATTTATACAAGTAAAGGGCCGGACCTCTTGCTTCTTAAGTTATTTTTTAAAATATGGAATTATAAAGAAATTAGGTCCTTTATTACTTTTGATACCAATTTTTGATAGGAATTGAATACTTGAAATCATTTTCTTTACTTTCTGAACCATAACAGAAATCATGAAACAGGAATTTTGGGAGGGAAAAGGCTATAATGTCTGGGAGGGAAGGTGTATGTTTCCGCCAGTGGCCAGTTGGTTTCCACTTACAAAGTCATACAGCTCCTTCCTTACAGCAAAAAAAGTTTACTTCAGAAACCAAAAATTAATAATTAAAAGGAACAAAACCAACAACAGAACAAGAGTATTTTCATTCTTTTAAAGATCTGCATTTTTTTCCAAGACTTTCTTTTTGCCACGTTGTGATGGGCGTCTCGTCTCCAACTCGCACGCTCTCAGGTGTGGGCGCTCGCTCCCCGGACTCGGGTGGTCGGGCCCCACGCGTGCATGGCTCTCACTCACGGCCAGGAGCACTTCTGATGGTGCACACGGCATTTGCCAGTGACCCACACACTGAACTACTGAACCATGTTTTTTTTCCCCTCTTTGTTGGAAAAAATAAACGGGTGATTTCTCTAAATCACTGGTTTTTGACACTGGATTATGTATGTTCTTATTTTGTGAACTAGTTTCACTTTCAGGTATGAGAGCATTCAGAAAATTACTGATTATTTTTTTCAGAAAGGATAAGTGACCATGAGTAAAATGGGTTCATTAAACTATTGCCATTTCCCAATCGTTTTCATTTATCTTTTTTTTTTTTTTTTGGTGCTAAAGAGCTAAACTATTCACTGCTGTCTGTTAATTAGTTTCTGTGTCGGGTTCTTGCATAGAGGAGCACAACATGCCTCAAGTGGTCTGTGCTCCTGGGATTTAGTAACTCCGGACGTCGGCCAATATCTGCAAGGGCAGAACGTGGTCAGTTGACCAGGTGAGACTTGCCCTTTGGATGGATGGCATTCTGGGTATTAAAATGGGTTTCAAAACAGCCACCAACATGTGGCTGGCGCTCTCATCTCTTCTGATAACCAGCGAAGAGAAGGGACAGTGATAGAAACCATCAGCCATGCTCATTTTATATGCAGATTTCACATCGCGGGTCAGTTTTCTCCTGAGACTGACGCTGCACTCATGAGACAAGTGTCACTAATTTCATGTGCAGGTGAGGGAGCTGCGGTTACCCAGCTGCTGAAGCCGGGGTGCTAGGATGCCAGCTGGTCCTCTCTGACCCCACGGCCGGCCCTGCCCACCACAGTCTGGGGGACCAAAGACTTCGTTCTCAGGCCCTTCTCAAGACTCAGAGAAAACTTAGTGCCGGACCACGCGAAACTTCCTCGTGTGTGTTACACTCCTTTGCGCTCACAAGTCCTGCCCGGCGGGTCTGTCCACCTGCAGACCTGAGACCACGGAGGACCGCCTCCCGGTGCCCCGCAGGACTGCAAGCAAGACGGGCTGCTGAGGTCTGAGGAAGTGGGAAGGAGTGGGTTTTGGTTTTTCTGTGACTTCTTCCTCTGTTTGCTTATTATGGCAAAATCAAACCCTTTGATTCTATCAAGGAATTTGCCTGACTTTATCACCAGCTCTTTAAGATTTTACATCGTGAGAATCCATTTTTCAATTAGTGAAATGGTCCAAATAACTTAGCCGCCTTTTCTAAAAGATGACACCATGCCTAACCCGGAATTAGAATGTATTTTTCTTTAAACTTAGTCTACCAACTCCAAATGACTACACTTTAATTTTTATTTAAATAGCCGAGTTTCTGCCCTGGCTGGTTTGGATCAGCGGTTAGAGCGTCGGCCCGCGCTCCAGAGAGACCCGGGTTCGGTTCCTGCTAAGGGCGCGTACCTCGGTTGCAGTTTGTCCCTGGCCCTGGTTGGGGTTGTGCCAGAGGCGGCCACTCGATGTGTTGCTTCACATCGATGTTTCTCCCTGTCTCTCTTCCTCTCTCTCCCTCTCACTCTAAAACAAAAATGGAAAAATGTCCTTGGGCCCTGGCCGGTTTGGCTCAGCGGTTAGAGCGTCGGCCTGCAGTCCTGAGAGACCCAGGTTCGGTTCCCGCTAAGGGCACGTACCTCGGTTGTAGTTTGTCCCCGGCCCTGGTTGGTCGTGCGGGTGGCAGCCACTCGATGTGTCCCTTTCACATCGATGTTTCCCTTTCTCTCTCTTCCTCTCTCTCCCTCCCACTCTACCTGAACAAAAAATGGAAAAATGTCCTCGGGTGAGGATAAAAAAAAAAAAAAAAAGAAAAGAAAAATGTCCTTGGGTGAGGATAAAAATTAAAAAAAAAAAAAAAAAAGCCAAGTTTCTCATGCAAGTAATGTAGTTATGTTATTAGAAATAGCAAAATGCTAAATTGTATGATTGCAAGATGTTCTAGGAGAACATTTCATCTTCTGCCCAAATCCCAGAATACTCGGACCGAGCTGACTGGTGTGCACAGAGTGTTCGGACAGTGTGGTGGCCGGAAGGTCCCGCCCGCGGGTCGGGCTGTGTGGAGGGCTCCGCCTCCAGGCCATGGAGACTTGGAGTGCGTTCTCAGGTCATGGTATTTAAAGCTCTCTCATCACATCTTCTGTTAAGTCAAATATTTCACCTAAAAATCAACCATACTTCCATCATACAAATTGTCCTGTTGAAAGCTTTTTTTTAAAAGCATAGTTTCTTTATTAAAAATTAGAATTAGGTTTGCTTCTATCTTTAACATTTCATATCAAAACCTTTTGACCATTCTGAGGAAACAAGACCACTGTGTGTCTTCGCACGTGTTAGGTTTTTATCTTGGTAGCTACCCTTACCCTGTGGGGTTCATGGCATCGAAGTCAGGGCTCTCCTGATAGGCCTGTGGCTCCCCCCAGCTCTGTGCGAAGGCTGGACTCCGTGTCGGAGGGGCCACGTCCCCACACGCCCCCACACCTCCATGCCCCCCACGCCCAGGTCAGAGGAGTGAGGCCGGGTTCGCAGGGCTGTGCGGGTTGCCCTAACGGTGCAGGTGCATTTTGGTTCTCTTACTGCTGTTACTATTATTAGAATTCCTTCGATTAACTCATTTGCCTACGAGTGTCCATCTTAGGACCCCCGACCCCCCAGACAGTTTGAAATGTGTGTCAAAGGGACCAGAAATGTCCTCCAGGATCAGGTCTTTCTCTTGGGGACCAGCGTCGTCCATTCACTGGCTCTGGTCTCCTCCCGCACAGCGCCACGCCCATCGCCGCCCTCCCCGGGCCCCAGTTCACCGCCCCACGTGGTCTCCCTTGGGCCGAGTCTAACTCAAACCCTGCAGCTTCCCACTGCCCCCACATGAAAGCCAGTCCCCAGCCGAGCCACCTGGTGGGGTGTCTGCTTCTCCAGCCTCTCCCCGCCCTTCCTCTCGCCTGCAGGCTCCAGCCACGGCCCCGCCCGTCCACTCGCAGGGCTCCGCTTTCCACGGGAGCCGGGCGGTGCACTCGCGCCGCTCACGAGAACTCGGTGATGACGGCGTGTTTCTTAGCCCCGCTCGCCTGGGAGCCCCCAGCCAGCCACAGGTGGCTCCTGACCACGTGGAATGAAGCTAGTGTGCTTGCCCCGAAGTCCGTTTGTCCTCCCGCTCGCCCCTGTTTCATAAATGACACCCTCCCCCAGCAGCTCCAGCCAGAAACCCCGGTGGCCTCCTGGAGCCTACACTGCCCCTCCTCCCCCCCAGTTTCCAGATCACCACGACTCAGTTCAGCATCATCATATCCGGTACCTCTAAAATACCCCCGGTAGGTTCATATCTCCCCATCATCAGTCAGCCCCCACCCCAAGCTATTTACATTTAAAATAAGTAAACGTTAATGCTTGTTCCTCTATTGCACTAGTCGGGTGCTCTGGCTGGTGGCTTCCCTGCCGACGTGGCAGACACAGGACAGTCTCTTCATGGCAGGAGGTTGGACATGCTGTTACCCTCCACACCTGTGTCAGACAGAAATGAGGGTGGGAGTCCTGTGGTTTTAAGTAAGAGTCTGGGTATTGAGTAGTTTAGGATATAAGTCCCAGAGTCTGGTGGCGGCTCAGAGGGACAAATGGGAGAGAGGAAAGAAAGAAAGAAAGAAAATCAGCCCCAGTTTGAGTTTTCCTCTTACAGACTCAGGGGGCCTGCGGTCAGGTCCAGGGTCTGTGTTTTCTCCAGTGCCCAGGTGACCCTTACACATGGTCCAGGAGCCACACCTGCTGCCCTGGGGGTCTCCCTCTCACTGCCATCGTGAAACCAAGTAATTCCTGAACCTTTGTTGCGCTTGGTTAGAAGCAGGGTGGTCCTGTTCTTTAAGCCATGTTCCCATGAATATTAAATCTCTAGTTCTACAGTTTATAAGGCTAAATTTTACCAGTTACAACATTCCACAAAAGTTGGGTATGCAAATATATCTGAAACCAGTAATGTTTCTTTATGACTGAATATACCTTCGTTTATGAGCTGCAGTTTTTACCGTGAGTTGGAAATTTCACCTGTGCCAGGTCAAGGTGATGCAGACATTTCCAGGTTTAAACAGCTTTAGCCTCCCAAACAGCCTGGTGCCGGTCCTGGGTCCCGATCGCCACTGCCCCCCAAGCGCCCAGGTGTGGCTGATGCCCGTGCCCAAGCAACACGCTGGTCCGCAGAGCACACCGCCGCCTCTTCCCGGTGGGCTGGCCTCTCAGCACTCCCGGGCCTCGCCGTCCGGGCACCCGCTGAGCACACAGGGCTCTGCTCAGGCTCCCCTGGCAACCATGGCCCCCATTGCTCCTGTTCCCGGTGCCATGCTGAGCTTGGCCTTCTCTGCCAGGCCTGCTGCCGTGTCCCCTGGGGGGAGGGGTCCTTCGGAGCTAACCTGTTTTGAGCACTTTTTGTTGGCATTTTTCTAAGGGTTGTGCAGTGTTACCTTGTTTAATCCTCTCAAGGGCCCTGGGAGGTGGGCATTAGTGTTATTCCCACTCGGATGACTCAGATGGATGGGGGAGTGACTTACCCGCCACAGCCGTTGGAGGCGACCCAAGTGCTTGCCGCCTAGAAGTCAGCGGGTAGAGGGGGTGGTGGCCAGCAGGGACCAGCTCCAGCATCTCGGGCCTTAACCCTGAGTATACTTCCACTTACTAAGTTATTCTGACAAACAGAACATGTCAAGGAGACTGCTTGCGTCCAGCCACCCACCAGGTGGGAATGTCACCATAGTATTAGAGGATCTCCCAGTTGTCATCCATCAGGGGCCATAAAAAAATGGGCTTGTTATTTCATGCAACTTCAGAGAAGAATGAACTAATTTGTCAAGACTTATAATCTCAACTAAGACTAAGAACTTAAATGTATTAGGCTCGGAATTTAAAATAATACATCTCTGTCCAAAAATAGATTCTGGCCCGGCCGGTATGGCTCAGTGGTTGAGTGTCGATCCATGCACCAAGAAGTTGCTGGTTCGATTCCCGGTCAGGGCACATGCTCAGATTGTGGGCCTGATCCCCAGTAGGGGGGCATGTAGGAGGTGGCCCACGATGTTCTCTCTCATCGATGTTTCTCTCTCTCCTTCTCACTCCCTCTCTCTCTAAAAATCAATACAGGAACAAAACAAAAATAGATTCTGAATCAATCTTTCAATTAGTAGAC